TGTGCATCTTTCGCGTTTTCAGGCGATTTGCATTGCGAAGGGATTTGCAGCGTGTCTGGTTCCCTAGAAGACTCAGACGAAGAAAAATTCTTTAAAATTCCTTTCAGTGGCATAGCAAGATTTGTATCACGTTGTTCGACAGGATGTTGCTCTGACAAGTCGAATCTGACTATTGGACGACTAGCATTTCTGTTTGGAGCTTGAGAATAATGGACCGGTGCTTGCTCCGCAGCACTGATCGAACTTGGTTTCCCTGAGCAGACTGCGAATGATTCCCGATTTCAGATCCATTTCTACAATTCTTTCTACATGGCCTTTCCGTTTGCAACGGAAGCAAGTGACTTCTGAACGAGACGGTGAAGGACGTGTGCGACATCCTGAATGACATGTCCACGACGTTTGCAATAACGACAGAATTTCCCGCCTGACTGCGAACGTAGTCTGTGAGGAGAACGGTAAGAACTGGGGTTTCCCCGCATCCCACACAGCACAGGGATATCCCAGGGATGTCCCTAACTGGACGACTTGTCCCCATGTCTTCATAGGATATCCTGAAGACATCTCCTTTCGGACGGTTTCGGACATCTCACAAGGGATGTCTTCGGGACGTCTTTTAGACATCTTCGATATCTAAAAGTCGATATCTTAGAGATATCCCTTTCGGGATATCTTTAAGACATCCTTAGTCGAATGCTTCTGGATATCCTGGAGGGGATATCTTATCTCTGGGATGTGCTATTTCTTCAAGAAAGGGATGTCATTGGGCCCAGACATTTTGATATCCCTAAGATGTCCCTACTCCTTGTCTCTGGGACATTGCACTTGTCCCAAGGGGATATCTTTGGGATATCCCTGTGCTGTGTGGGATATCCCAACCATCCCTCCTGGACTGATGTCCGTGCAGAGAAATACTTTCCTGCGACTTGTTGTCTCCTGCGATTTGTACTACTGTCTGGACGAGAGATGTGAGGGATTGAACCTGCTGCCGTAAATCTGCTATTTCTTTATGCACTTGGGACCAAGAAGAGTCAGAGGTGGCGGAAGAACTAGCTACTATACTGGAAGTCAATGTGTCAATCCATGAGCTGTATGTATGTTGTGGTGGGCACATTGTCAGCTACTTTCAATCTTCGTGCATGCGCAAGGGCATCGCACAACTATGTTGGGATTTTTTCAGCCACCCATTTCGCCTACGGACTGGTAAGCCTGATATAAACTTGTTGATGTACAACAGATCTGTGTCTGGCTTGGCATTGACACCAACTGTTTCCTGATATAGGTACCTCAAGGATCTTTCGTATTCACCGACGTGTTCACCATCCTTCAGAGTTCTGACCTCAAATTCAGCTAACTTAGATGCAGCCGGATGTGCCGAAACAAGTTTGAGTTCCGTGACCAAATCACCAGAAGTTTGACTGGGCGGAGAATTGAGACAAACAGTATGCAATGAAGAATCCGACGGAAAGGAGACGATGAGATAGGATTTCTTTTGAGTTTCTGTCCATTGATTAGCTTCTGCTATCCTTGAAAACATTTCCAGAAAACGAGAAAGATCCGAACCTGACTGAAAAGTTGGGAGGACGAATTTGATAAACTGGTGCCATTGTGGTGGAAGAAGTCGAATTTGGGGCTGTATCCTCTTCGCTCATGATTCTATCCAAGATGTAAAAGGAGAAAAAGTGAAGCAATAAATAGATTATCACAGGCAGTTATCACGGGCTTGGCTTCTTTAACCGATAAGAGACGGAGCTAAGGAGCACGAAATATGAAAAAGGAGAAAATACTTTTTCACCTCACTCGATGACCTTGACACGGTCGGGACTTCGAAAAAAGTGTGGAGAAAGTGCCATATTGATCCAGACAGGAGATAACTCAACTCAATGGAGAAAAAATAAAATAAAAAGGAATGAATAAGAAATATACCTCTTTTAAAAGAAAGAGATCACCTTTAAAACAGGAAAATGGGCAGAACTAGCCGACGGGCAGAAACATGTCTAGACAGAAATGCTTCAATAAAAGAAAAATGTAGATATGTATAAATAAATCATTTGTGCTTATGCCTGATTCTAAATCTGGGGCTCGACAAAAAGGACTCGATGACAATTTACATCCATGTCCCCCAACCGCTTGCCATCAATTATTGTCACAGGTTCGGTGTGTGCTTTTTACTGTTACTCTTCGGAGGCTGGCAAATTATTATAATTATATTATACCGATCCCTGTGCAATAAGTTTAGGGGAAGTAAGTGGTAGCGGGTGATTCGGACCCAGGCGGTCTCGATCTCTCTGGCCCACGGCCTAAGTATTTGATAACAAGGAAGGAATCAGGAGTCAGTCACTATACACCCTGAGCCTTTTAATCACTGATTATAATAACATCAACAGAGTAGTTTAACAATATTAAGAATCATGTAGATATGGAGACAATGCACTTCTCACGTCCTGGTGTGTATTGAAGGAAGTCAGGACGAGTATGCCCCTCAAGAAGGGAAGGCTTGTCTCTGGAAGGCGCGTAGTACTTGTCTTCTCCTGCACAACTGTTCTAGAGGTCCGCCCGGTCTGTAAATCACAGACACAACTTCTCCGTGGCTTATTTCAAGCCCATCACACTTGTATGAATGACACTGAATGGTAGGCTTTGTCAAACTGTTTTTGTGATATTTGGAATCTTCATTCTTAATATATACATGTAAAGCTTTGCAGTGAGCTTGAATTTCCTCATCTGACTTGTCTCAGCTCCTTGCCAGCTGAATCCTTGCTGGAAATAATAAGTTTTATGGCAGCTGATGAGATGCTGTTGTATCCCAGCTGCGGGACAGTAGGATTACATACATATCGCTATTTTCTCGTCTGGACGCGTTAATCTCAGCAGTGACACAGCTGGGATTTAAGAGTTGTGTTCATTGGGAAAAGTGCCCAGATATTTTGATATCGCTGAGATGCGACCGCAAGTACTATCTGGGACTTCTCACTTGTCCCAAGGGGGATATCTTTGGGATATCTTTTGGACGTACAGTATTTGTGCTGTTTGGGAGGTGGAATAGTTACCGAGTTATTCATATGAAAACCTGTTCCCTTACTATTGGTCCACCCTGTATAAAGCACATGTAAAGACGGGTAAAAGTGAATCCATTAGTACTGTAGAGCTCAACTACTCTAATTTCGGATATAATTCGTAGCCCCCACCCCAGTGATGGCAAACGAAAAAAAGCTCTACTTCCAGACCAGGTTCAGCTTTATCAGATGATTCGAAAAATCACCCTTGGGGAAGGTGTCACTGCTGCAATCGATGGAAGTGCTCCTATGGGGCAGTTCTTATTCAAACTGAATTCATTGGAGGTAATTTTCTTCCCCCCTCGCTGTCATGTGACAGCTTCTGATTGGTGTGACGTCATCATCACTCTCCAGGACTCTCGCGATTCACGTTGCTTGAATTCCCTTACCATCGTTTTCAGTCACGCTTGCAGTTTTGCAGCTTTTCGACGGAGTCATTCAGACGCATGCCTGACGGATGATGATTTCAAAGTGAAAGTGAGTGAGACAAATGATCCCACAAGGATGAAAGGAACCCGTAGACGTGATATTAGGTTAGGTAGGCCTCACCAAGACCCGAGGACCTAGGCCTTTATGCTAGGGTTAGCATTGAAAAACCCTTGCAGTCAGATAAACCAGTTCACGATGAGCCTTGGTCTGCCCCTGCTGACGATTGAAAGTCGAGTCAAACATTGGAATTAGATTATGAGATACTCTCGCTTTATACCGAAATTGAAGTGGCTTCCATCCCCAGACACTTTTATGTTAGAGAATGGCGATGATCGCTTTGTGGCTCAATCTTACAAGAAACCCCAATGCTTACAGGTTTTGCAATTCAATGCAGGAGTTGATTGCATATACCATTGGTCTAGGAGGGAAAGGTCTTTAGTTAGGCTGGGGCTATTAAGGAAAACCTTGTAGGCCTTTAACACGTTGACTGTTGAACAGAACATGCAAAATGCAGATATATGCAAAATGTGTCAACAGTGATGCACTTGGCAGCCAATGTTTTAAAACATGGATTTTCTGGGGAATTTGTACTACCTTGAACATGGGACACAAAGGTCTAATATCTCTGCTATCAGGGAAAGTGGTTCCTAGTCTTCATGTGTGCTCCAAGGAAATAATGAGCACACTGTTGAAGGTGATATGAATTCAATTTGATGTCATGGTGTAACTAACCTTCATAAGTAGATCTGCATATCCTGAAGTTTGTGTATAACTTTCTGGAGCACTTTTATATGATTTGAAAGCAGGGCAGGAATTACATTAGAAAAACCTAAATTAAGAAAGCAGTTTCTACAGGGTGGGCCATAAGTCCCTGTACCTCTGACTTTATTAAGCATTCAAAGCATCTGTATGTGCACCATCATTGTCCAGACACGAGATAATGCCTCTCCAGGTTCTATGTGACAATCACCCCCATAATGCTAAGAAAAATGTACACACCCTCACAGTTATTTTTGCTGAGGTGCAAGAATCTACTATCAGAAGCTTGGACAAGTTATGGTTTGCTTTAGGCTTAGGTCTAGGCCTGATATGCTTTCTGTGAGATATCATATACAAGAGCAGTGATTTATGGTAGGCCCAAGCCAAGGTTCCAGGGATAACCTATGTTATAGTGAGTCTAATATGCAATGCATATCATTAGGCCTAGGTGAGGCACAGATTGCAATAGAACTTTACTTGTGGGGTAGTGAATGTGTGGAATGTATTAAGCAACAGTGTATTGGCTGCCCCTACCATGACTAGCTTTAAGAAGAGGCTTGATGCCTTAATGGACAAAACAAGAAAGGGAGCATCATAGCTTTGAACAACTAGGCAGTTGGTGATTTATGTTTCCAAAAAATATATCTTCAATTGTGATAGGCATATCTTACAAATATCAGAACACTTGACCTCGACATGGGATGTGATAAGTGAGTGGATATGCCTCCTGACATCAGTATTAAAACCTTGAACCTGTAAATTTTTTCCCCAGTTATTATCCCCATCTTTTACTGTTTTCCTTTCCTGTATTTTTGCTTAACCATGATTATAGTTTTATTCCTAGTTAAACTCTGTTTTTCAGTTGCCATTATAATCCTGAGTATAATGATTTGAAAAAATTCCATAGTGAAAAATTATATAACTTCAGAATGGCCAAGTTTGTGAAGCATCTGCTGAGCCGGAGTAGTGATAAGTCAAAGCAGGTGAAGGAGAAGGGAGACCATATCAGGAGAAAGTCCTGGGAGAGCATTCTATCTGGTTCAGGACTTGAGGATCTCATACCTGTCCACACAGGTGTGTACACTGTCCTACCAAAGTCTCAGATCCTGTCCAAGCTCCACCTTGCAGCCTGGGTTGGGGATGTTGAACGTGCCAGGAAGTATTTGTTGAAGTACTCTGTTGATACAAGGGATTCAGAAATGCGCACCCCTCTCCACCTTGCTGCTTGTCAAGGCCATGACAACATGGTCTCTTTCTTGATCAAGAATGGGGCTGCACTTGACTTATTTGATTCTTGTGGACGTACTCCTTTGCTCAAGGTAAGGCTGTTCTCATCAGGACTGAGATGCACTATGTTCATTTTAGTATAAATGTGCCCATATTCAGTTCTAAACTTATTCCAGCTTTCTGCATCATGTATTAGCACCTTCTGCATGTAAATGCCAATAGGCAGGCTTTATATATGTACATACACCCACAGGTTTCATGTCATCTCGTTATAGTGAGTCCCTGACTCGTATTTTCACCATTTCAGATATTAAGTCTGAAAAAAAGCATTTTGTAGCTAAGTCTTTCTTCTTTCCATTACATGTAACCAGAAAAAATATCCTTGAAAGCATCACACCTGAAATGCACATTGAAAAGTGTGCCCTTTTTTTTGGGCTACCCTGTACATTTCTGCTACCACAATCTGAAAGGTTTAAAATCAAGATGGAAAATTGGTCTCCAATGTGAATGATTTTACATAAAGCATAGTATCTATAATCTCATAGTATCTATCCAACAATTTTAGATAGAATTAGACATGACAGCCGAAAATTTTAGAACCTTTGCTAAGAATAACTTTAAATTTTAGGCAGTTGAATGTAACCATGAGACAACTGCAACATGGCTGCTCCAATCGGGATCCCCAGTGGACAAGCCAGATGCTCGTGGAGACACGTGCCTCCATTACTGCGTCCGCATTGGGAATGTATCCCTGGCAGGGTTGCTACTTGAGCGTGGGGCAAGACTGGAGCAGCAAAACAGAGATGGGGAGACCCCGCTGCACATAGCCATCCAGAGCCACCAGTATCAGGCCATCCACTTTTTGCTTCGTCGTGGCCATGATCCTAATGCTCAAGATAATCACGGTGTCACCCCACTGATGGCAGCTTCTCATGCTGGCATGATGGATGTTGTTGATGATCTCAAGCAACATGGGGCAGATGTCTCAACCAAAGACAAGACTGGTATGGAATGATGAGACTTTTCCTCCAACTTTTCTAGAAACTATTAGAGCATCTGCAGAGTTGAGATACTTTCTCTGCAGAATTTCTTCTGCTTGTAAATATGTGGATCTTTCATATAATAAGAAACCTACTCTAGTAGTAAATCAAGCCAAGGATCAATGTACCTTAAATCTTGCAGAGATTCAACCAATTATCTTCTTGTCAGATTGTTCATACAGTTGCATGGGAGTTGTTAATCCTTTGAGTCCCTTTTCCCTGAGTGAAACCTACATCACAAAAAAACTCACCTAACTTAGCAGTCACCCTTATGATGAGTATAGTTTGGAAAAGGTGATTTAAAGACTTTCACAAGACCTACATCTTGTATATTTTTCAAGGGAAGCCATTCTTAATCTGTGTCAAATTGTGGATGTGTGTGTAGGAAAGACAGTAGCAGATCATGCTCTTGAAGACCAGAGTGGTGAACTGGAATCAGTGGTAGATCCTCCACATGAGACCCCCATTGACCACATTACTCCTGTCCCGCCTGAGGAAAAGTCTAAGATGGGTTGTATTACTTCTGAGTGGAAGCCTGGAGTTGCATCACCTAACCTCAGCTCCTGGGGTGATGATGACTCCTTACCTCTCTCAGAGGAGGAAAAACATGCAGTGAGATCATGATGAAACCCCTAATGCATTTGTCTGTTGAAACCTCTTTTCTGAAGCTTTGAAGCTTCATCCCATGCAAAATTTGGCTGGAAAAGTCAGTGATTTTGAATGGATCTGCCATATTTTTCTTTGTTGCTTGACCTTATAAGTTGACCCCAGAGTTATCTACCTGGAATAATTATTTCTTGCAACTTTCACACTTGACAGAAGATTTTTTCTCCTCATGTCTTACTTTATATGTCTGAGGTAAATGTCCAAATTTGTCTTCAGTGTCAAACTCTGCAAAGATTTAAATTTTGTTTTGCAGAGATTCGGGCCAGTTCAGAGTAGTGACCCAGTCATTCGTTGTTTCCAGTGAAATCAGTTTGCATGGTGTTATAATTAATTAGTTCACATCTGCTCAGAATTAATCAAGTCTAATACCAAACAAGTAGTTCAGTAGAGGGACCTTTTTTTATCTATTAATTTAGCAGTAATTCTTCAGACACTGAACCTTAAGGTCCATTCTCAGTTTTATTCCTGAGGGCTTTGGTGTAGATTACCCAGAAGAAAATGAATGTATCATGTTTGTTTTTGTCTTCCTTCACTACATGAGAAATCATGAATGATGAGATCAATATTTTTGTTTGGAAAATTTTCAATCAGGTAAACAACATATAGGCTTCTCTTGGTAGCTCAAGAAACTGGTAATTTCAATAACTGAAGGTTGAGATAAGCTCAATTGTAATTGTAATTGTCATACTAGACACTGTTCAGAAAGGTTGTGTTGTGATTTGGAACACATATTACACCATATTGTTGTGTGGAACATGCTCATGACTTGAGGAGTATTCAAATTACATTGCTGGAAACATTTTACATGCCTGCTTTGCTTGTAGGCTCTTCCTGTGGAGATGCAGAAATTGCTGGAAGAGTTGGACTCAGGTTCTGGAGACTCAACTGGCCCATTACATCCTGGAGAACCCGAAGTGAAAGAACATGGGGAGAGTCAGGCATCTGAAGCATCCTGGGATGACTCTGGCTCCCTTCCACTAGACAGCGGGGACAGCAACACTGTGTGTTTTACATGCTTTCTCTTTATTTGTTTTATTAAGTTAGGTGTCTTTTTTATTTATTTAAACAAGTTCTGACCACTTCTTTTCCTGTCCACTTGTTTCAGAACTGTCTGAACAATGGAATCATTAGGATGTGATGAGGCTGTTTGCTACTGGGTAGAAGTGTTTTATGGTGTCATGAGCTTTTTCTACTTAATGGCAGAAAAACGTTATTTTGGAATTTCACCCTTAGATATAATCACAAAATTATCCTCTGTGCAGGCATCTCAGGAACTGTTCTGGAACAAGAAGTAGATAGGTGTACTATGCTTCATTCTAAAGAGCTGAAAGATATATAAAGATAGCATTTCTTCAATTTTGTCTCAATGAAAACATTCATGTCTAAATAATGAATAACATCAAAACCCATCACCAAACCCTGGAGCAATTCTACTTATGGGTCAGAAAAATCCTCTTCTAGGACATCCTCCTCACTTTTCAGCCTCCCTCCCCTCCTTGTACTTATGAAGGAATTTATGCTTGGAGTAGTAGTATAGTTTATCCAGGCATTGGAGAGTGGGCAGATCTTTGGACACCCACATAGGGTGACAACTCCAGTCTCCAGGGCATGACAAATGACTATGTAGAAGGCCTGCCTGCCATTGTCATTGTCTCCCCCTTGGTGTTTGGTATATCTAAATGAGGAGTGCACCAGTACTGCCAGAATTTTTTTTCATCATATACCATACAACGTTTGTATTGATGTGGTCACCAACACCAATAGCATTAACAAAAGCTGCTCAATCCAATGAAAGCACCCATACAATATTTTTAAATGAGTAAAAAATTGCCCATTAACCAGGGCTCGGTGGTCGAGTGGTTCTGGCTTCTGGGTAGCAACCCAGGAGGCGAGGGATCGAGTCCATGTGGCAGTGGGCTCTTCCTCCACCGACAGGTGACCCACCTGCTTTCCTGGAGAGTGTCTGCTTAGTGTGGGATAACACACATGCCACTCTGTGTGCCACGTCTAGGAGATACAGGTGTAGTTCACCTTAAAAATCACTCCTGCCTGTCATGGGCTTAGGCACCCCGTGAGCTGCCCCTTTGGCCTCCTAAAGGACTGTTGAGGGGTGTCCCTGCCTGAGGGACTGTGATGCAGATGCAGTGCCCATGCCAAGCGTGAACCCCCTCCCTCTCTGTGTACTGTAATTGGTCCATTGTCGTTTGTATCTGCTGCATGTCCTGTCTTAAAAAAAAAAAAAAAATTGCCCATTTATAAAAGACTAGTCTTCTGTTTCATACCTAGGGACTCATATTTTGCTAAGAATGATTTAATGTCATCAATGATCTTGGCTTTGCATGTCCATTCACATGTATAAAAATAATCCATTGAAAGATAACATATTCCTACCTTTCTTGGTGAGGCCTAAGTTAAAAGTAGCTATGACCATGGACACAGCATTTTTACCTGCACCATCACTCTAGCCTTTGAAATGCTTCTGTTTCAAATGTACTCATCAAAAAAGTGCCTGAAAGTCATGAGCTCTATATACTATCAGTTTTTCCATGCCACCAGCATCGCAAAATGTTAAGGACTACTTTCACAAGCGACAAGATCCATATAGGGTCTATTGACAGATCAACAAGTGAGGGCTGTGACAAGTTAGGCCTGTGATGAATCAGGTACACTTCAACTTGTCCGCAACGAATCATTGGTGTTAAAATATGCTGCAGTGAATTAACAAGTTGCAATCTTTTGCACAAGAGCATACTGGATCTCTGTCCTTGAATATGACATCAAATGCAAAATGATACAGAGCTTATTTAAGCTATATGAATGGGAAAGATAAAAAAAGTCCCCTGTGCAGCAGTAATAGAGGTCTTTCTGAGCCACCAACCAAGCTATCTCATGTTCTGAGCCATCCACAAGATGATTAAATGCATTGCAGAAAGGCAATGCCTGGTGTACACAAGCTTTGACTTACCATACAGATAAGTCAAAGCTTGTGTACGCGACCCATGTCAGCCTTCATCGATATAAAAATATGTTTCCTTTTTTTTGTCTTTTGAACTTCTATTTTTCATTGATCATTTAAAATAATTCTCTCCAGGTGAGAGGGACTATGGGTCGATTGGGGACCTTGCAGGGCTGTGAAGAATTTTGGGAGAAGAATCCTGTTCTGCAGTCATCTTCCCATGGTGGTAGACCTGCAAGTGCTGACAGTATGAACAGCCCACAGATAGTGCAATCTCAAAGTCAACTAACTGATGAGGTGGGACCCCCCTATTGTGAGGTGGGACCTGGTCAAGAAATTCCCTCACTACTTCATGGTGTTGAATTAAAGGATACTCTGGGAACTCTGCCAAAATTTGATAAATTTGATAACGAGAAAAATGTTGAAAATCATGTGAAGTTTGCCCTCACAGGAGTTGCACTGACATTGAATGAAGTTGACAATCTAGTTGGCAGTGCTCCCAACTCAATTGAATCAGCTTGGAGCATTGAAGATGATCAGGAACACATATCTAATCTTAGTTATTCAGATGAGTTTACACTAAGACCAGAAGATAAATTGGCACATGCTGTGGAAGATATGCCTTTACCAAATGAAAGCTCTGAAGCTCTCCATTTGACTTGTTCACATGTGAATGAATCTGATGTACATTTTGAAGTTACCAAAAATACATCTGGCATTCTTTTATCACCCCATTCAAATTCACAATCTCCTACCCCAACTTCCTGGAGTGAAACATCGTCTCCAGTAATTCTGCAAGCACCAATGCAGAATCAAGTTCCATCTGGCCCAGAACCACGTCTAATAGTGCCAGTCCCACCCATTGATGTGCAGGAAATCCCTGGTGTGATTGACATGGGCCCAGCATCAGAGGAGACTTCATCTTCAGAACAGAATTTAGAACCTCTGAATGAGTTTGTGTCTTCATGTATCCAACTTAACAGCAGTCTTGCTGAAATTCCTACAGATGTTGAAGCAGAAAGGTATGCAAAGGTTCCATCCCCTCCTCCAAGAAAAAACCGAAAGCAGCGCAACAACGACAGTGTAGTCATAAATAACTTGGAAACAGCAACACAGAGCATGCAGACTGTTTCATCTTCATTCCTCATCCATTCATCCACTCAGACTGACCTCCAGTCTGACTTTGAGGCTGCCTTTCAAAAATTCACTGAAGACATTACTGGGGTCATCCAGCATCTCTATGATGAGAAGTTGGTTTTACCCAGGTGAGCTTTTTTCTTCTTCCATATTGTACCATATTGTATATTGAGGTGCTTGGTATAGCCGCCAACATTGCAAATTAATATTACTATTAGTGCTATATTTGATGCAGCTGAATGAAGTATTGCATTAGTTTGTCAGCTGGCTCAGGTCATCCCATTTTCCAGAACTTTCCAAAGTTTGGTATTTCCCCATCTTTGGAACTTGTGTAAGCCCCTCTAATTTTCTTGAAATGTCTTTTCTATCCTGGCAGTTCCTGGCTGGAGAAACCAGAATTGGTGAAGAACTTGGAGTCAAGTTTGTCAGGTTGGAAGGAAGAAATTGTAGCATTGCTTTCTGTATATGGGGATGCTCTTCAAGTATCCTTATCTGCCTTCGCCAAAGACCTAAAGGATACCCTTCTTTGCAGCAAGGTTTCCTATGGATTTTTTCAGTACATTGCAGATTGATGTGGAGAGGGCATTAACCTTTAAAAGTCAGATTTAAATGACGATGTGAACCCTGCCTAGTGGGTTTTATTGCATCCTTTTAAATATGTTGCCATGATAACAGCCACATCAGCACTGTCCAAAATAAAGGAAAGCTATGGGTATATGGGTGTCCAAAATAAAGGACATACTCCATTGTTTTTGAGATTGAGATCCTAGTCACGAGTCTAAGACAACTTTTATTGAGATTGTGTGAATCCCAGTTGCAATTTAAAGGTTAATGCTGAAAAAAAAACCTTAACCTGCTTTTGACTCAAATGAAACTATGATGGTAGTGCATTTCTACATCCATTAGTAGCTAAAAATTTGTGGCAACCATTCAGGCCATTCACAGTCACACATTTTTTTGACTTCAGCTCTAAAAGTATGTGGAGTGTAACCATAGAATTCTTCTTAAAATGTTTATCCTTTTTATTTTTGAAAAAGAGAATCAACTGATGCATTATATTTAACATCTTATAACTCACATAATATATATATATATATATATATAGGTAAGGTGTAAGGTAAGGTAAAAAGGTTGGCTTAATTAGCGAATACCCAAATGGGCAGTGAAAACCGCTCTCATTTGAGGCATGCATATAGATTGAATTCAAGTAAAACAGTGAAATGCATGGGCTTATTTCCCATATCTTTCTTTAATTCTCCTAGAGCTTATCCAGTTAGTTGGGGTTGGGTCAGGTGCTATTGGCCTAATGTATCAAGGCCAAGGCCTAAAAGCAGAGGCAATCTAGGCATCGCTCCAGTCTGTCAGTGTAGGACACAGTTAACTGAATGCATGGTAGGGCATTTCCCTGGGCTACGCTTTTTCTTGCATAGGCTTGTTTTTGCAGCTAGCCTTCCCCCCCATTTTCTTTTCCCTCTTTGGCTTGAGCCATTCCGAGCCGTGCTCTCGCTCCATTTCTTTCATAGGCTTGAGTCTACCTTGCATTTCGGTTGCGAGGCTGATCGAGCTAATCGATCGTTAGCTATGGCACTGACAGACGGACTTAAGCCATGATTGCCTCTGAGGCATTAGGTACAGTCTATTTAATTCCATAGCCGTAGCCCCTGACAGAAACTTTCTGGGTGGGGTTTGTTTGATCAGACTTGCGGCCTCAACCCCCTGATGATGCAGGCTGCCTGACAAATTTCTAGGATGAGATCCTTCGCTGTCCGTTCTCTTTTTAACTTCCTTAAGCCTTGCCCCATATCTGCAGGCTGTTTTGCCATAGTTAGATTATTTGTTATATGTCCTCTTCTTCTGGGCTAGGAGCCGGTCATAGCCTGCCTGTTGCCTTGGGTGGCTATTGCTAGGGAAGGCGTCACTGTTTTACTTGAATTCAATCTATGTGCACGCCTCAAATGAGAGCGGTTTTCACTGCCCATTTGGGTATTCGCTAATTAAGCCAACCTTTTTGCCTTACCTTACCTTACCTATATATATATGTACAGGGCTAGTCAAAATGATTGCAGCGGTTTCAGAAAATTACTACAGGTTTATTATTTGACATATACTTACAAGATTGCACAGATATATAAACAAATAGTGAAAGTTTTTNACTTCCTTAAGCCTTGCCCCATATCTGCAGGCTGTTTTGCCATAGTTAGATTATTTGTTATATGTCCTCTTCTTCTGGGCTAGGAGCCGGTCATAGCCTGCCTGTTGCCTTGGGTGGCTATTGCTAGGGAGGGCGTCACTGTTTTACTTGAATTCAATATATATATATATATTATGTTTTTTTTTTTTCTTTTTTGGAAATGTATAAGCTCAATTTGAAGGGCACGTTCAGTGTGCCAATGACATGGCTATTCAATGTCACTTGACACTTTCTATCTTGAATGTGTAATTTTCATTTAATATTTTTTCAGTGGGTTTCATAGTGTCACTCAGGATTTTGATATTCAGAATACTTGAGGAAAATCATCTGTACTAAATCAGAGAAGAAAAACAACACATGAACTACTTGTATTTACATGACACTCTCTATTGTGCAAGAGTATCCTGCTGTGGTGGCACCAGGGAGAAGCCCATTGCGAACTATTTGTCATGAATACAATATATATCATTATATACAATATATTCTGAAAACATATTAAACAATGAAAATATATAATTCCGAAACTAATTTAAGAGGCAGAGAAGCAGTGTGTGAGACACATCCATCTACCATATCTTCATTGCCCTGTCAAGATAACTGCAAAATTTGTTGCATAAAGAACAGGATGTTCATCATATGACTATGGGAAACATTAAAAAAATATTGAATCTGAGGTATGGTAACCATTTATTTTGTGCAGAAAAGCTGGTTATCAGAAAACCTTGGAATGGCATTGCACCTTTCCTCATCTCATTCTAGTATGAAAAATAAATCAATTCTCTGGCCCTCGTTTGAGTTTGAGCTAGCCAACATAGTTTTTCAGTGCATTCTCCATTGGTACTCATGATGTTCCAGTTGTGGAACAAACAGATCTTCCAGGATTTGGTGGTAAATTTTTAAACACTAGAACTACTGGGGCAGTCATTTTGGCTACTCCCCATTTTTAATTGCTCTTTACTTTGCTTGTTTGGCAACTAAGGGCCTCCATAGTTTTACTTTTTCTATCTAATATCGACATTTTGAGCATGCAAAATTACATTTGGAGAAAGCAAATGAAATGTTACAGAATATTATTTCTGTAACTACTTTTAATACAGTAGTCAAATTGACCACTCCAGTAATTCTAGTGTTAATGCAAATTTTCCTCAAAGAAGGAAGACCCAATAGAGCATCTCTGTGAAATTATGCACCTGGCTGCTATTCTGGAGGAGTGTAGGGGTCCCTCAGTCATCAAGGGTCAAATAAATTAATTTTCATTCAAAAGAAAGTGGAAAGAAGAAAGATGTGTTATTTAGAGGTCTTCAGATAGTATGAGGGTTGTTCAAATGAAACCTGAACATGCTGTGATGCAACAGAATTAGATACATGCACAAAGTTTTGCTTATTTCTTGGAGTACCTTCCTGCAATATCATTGCAATATAGAGCATCACTTCATGAGAACCAAGTAGCTTGGAAGTGGGCAGTGAAGGAGTGTCTTTCTGAATTCATTCTAAAGACATTCTAAATTGATTATCAACTTGACCTAGATAACCTCATCTTGTAGAAGGTTCACAAATATTTTGTTTCTTAAAGGAGCATGTGTCCCACATTCTTTCCTTTGCAGTCACATGAGAAATGGCAGCACAGGAACTTTTTGCAGGTAAAGCTTCATGAGGAAGGAGCATGCATTTTGCAATTGCCCTAATGAACTTGAAAGTGTCAGTAATGAGCTATGACGTAGATATCAACTGTAGAGAACCCTTATCCTGTATATATGTGTAATAGTGAGTGGTGACATTCGAAAAGATACCTGTCAAGCCTTGCCTCTTCTACTTCTGGTGTGCTGTGCATTGAGATTCCTTGCTACTTGTACCATCTAATATTGGGAGATGGATTATGACATACCACAGAGCACTAGCACTTAAAATTTTCTTTTAAGGAGAAAAATATTTATGATGCTACCATATCAAATCAGTCAGGTTTAGAAGAATCAATGAATTCCCTTTCTATTCATCATGGTGGAAGTGAATATCAATGGTAAATGACTTGTCTTCATTCATTTTCACCATCCCAAGATCCTCAATTTGTAATTTTGTTATAATTGTTATTGCCTCACTAAAAGCTGAACCAATAATATCCATCTGCCAAATGAAGTAGTTAGGGGTGTTCCTGAAACAGTATATTATAGCTTTAACCTTTTGCAGTCCACTTTCTGACATTCCGACAATCTCCATGGCATTACAAATAAATGGACAGCAAAGGGTTAATGTCAAATGTGCCAATGTGTCTCTAAGTCCAGCTCTGCAATGAATTAATGGAGTTACAATAAGGCAGTTATTTGTAAGATTTAGTTTCTTTGAAGTCTGTTAGTTCTGATCCTCAAGGCCTTTTTCGATATATGGAAGTGTCTGTTCCTTGTGGGAGGTATATCACAGGTTTATTTCGGGTAGAGGTAATGCATGACATAAAATAATAGAAAATGCAAGTCCTGCTAGCAAATGGATAATGCCAATGATAAAGGTTTGGGTTCTTTTCCTGTTTCAGTTTCAGTCTTCTCAACTTTTCAGAATAGCTTTTAGCATAGCTTAGGCATGAAAAATAAACCCAAATACCAAAAAAGTAGGAAATTATAACTTTCCAGTCATATACAGTACTGTGTGACTCTATTGTAATGTTTATGCTGCATCAAACCAGGCTCTTTTTGAAAAGGGGGCACTTCAAACCAGGAGAACTGTTTAAGGACAGGTCTCAATTGTGACAATTATAACAGTATTTCAGCTTGGTTTCTTCCTGATCCCATACCCTCTCCTGCTCCTTTCAAATTCTTCTCATGCAGTCATTGATTTTCTACCGTGGAAGAAAATTGAAAATCATTTGGCAGGGTTGTGACCTTAGCCCTTTTCCTGGCAGGGATTTCCAAATGTTTTGAGGATGTTGACATAATTTTAAGCTGATGCCAGGGAAAGGGTTAAAACTGATACCTATTGATGTCTTGCAACATTCATTTCTTGAATATGTAGTGATACAGAACCAAGTTATAAGAATTGTCAGTGTGAACAACAGGATTATGGGGAAATGGTGTCAAGTTACTCTGAATGACTAGGCTTTAATTTTTTGTTCCTGTTTTTTTTATTATATATTTTAAAATCGATTTTGAATACTTTGTTTTCTGTCCTGCTTGTCATGTCCCTTGAATTGATACTCTTTAAAATATTGATCTGGTGGTTGCAGGATGGATTGGAAAGAAAGGAGGCAGAAGTGGAACATGTGAAGGAAGATCTCCATCTGGCCCACAAGGAGAACCTGGACATGTCTAAACATATTGCCAGTCTCCAGGGCTTCCTACAATCTAAGGTAATCTTCAAGGAAACTTTTAGGCTATCTTCTCATTTAAGGTTTAAGGTAATTAGGGGGAAATGGCCCTAAAATGTGAAGTCTGGTCTGAACAACCCATTAAGGTTGAATTGGACTTCATCATTATTTGGAAAATATAGATTGACATCTCCTTTACTCAATCACAGTTTGGCATATGTCAAGAAATACATGGATATTGTGCATTTGGATCCCTTCCGAGATGGTCCAAAGAGTCCATATTACTCCTATTGTTTGGGTAATATGGCCACTTCTCAAAAACAACCCTAGGTTTTTAAGGTATGTGTGAAATATGTATGAATGTGCTGAGTACCTTGAAACATAACAAATGAGGTTAAGCAGTTAAAAAAAACACAAAGCACATTAACTGCATTGAGGACAAGTAAAGAGATCAATATCATTACCCAACTCCAGGAGCTGCTATGGAAAGCAGGATTACAACACTTTTGGCTGAGTAGCATTGCACATGATTGGGAGACTATATCTAGAGACTGTGAGTATAAAAGGAGTGTTCACCTAGAGATTGAAGTGAACATGCACTACAAGTGTGAATTGAGAGGTCAATGCAGTGCTTCATGAAATCAAGGATGTGTCAGTATTATCCCAAATTGAGATGGTCATATTCCCCCATATTGGCTTGCATGACAAATTTGACAACACTGCATGCTAACCACAAGTGAAGGGGCTAGCACTTTCCACAATCATTCTGGAGGGACCATGGAATAACTTTGAACAAATGGTTTCAGTATCCATGCTGCTGTTGGAAAATATGCACTTCAGTTGTTCAAGGCTCATATTAGTTTCATGATCATGAGTTGAACAATCACATGCTCATGATTTTTAAACATCTATTTATCCAAAGTTTCTGCTAGCATTGGATTAACGGACGGGTCATAGCTTTTCAACAATTGTATATACTCTTCAATAGAACTATTTTAAAAATTTGTCAAAACAGTCTATTGGGGGGTACATTGTGAAGGGCATATTGCACCAATGACCAAGTTACAACTATAGGTTTCTATCCATCTTCTGCAATGTCTTTAGGTTGTTTCATGTTGAAGAGTTGTTTCTTTATCATTAATCTAACCCTTGATTTCTTCTTTAATTTTGACAGTATTAAAAATTTTTTTCAAGTTTCCCAAGTTTTCAATTTAAGGTTCTGCTTAGTTTTGGATCCATGTTCTAATTTCCCAATCCTTAGAAATGTTATCCATCATGGGAAATATGTTCAAATTTAAACTTTCCTTTGTGGACTGTGGAGAAATTACTCTGTCAAATGTGCAAGTTTGAGCTATTTTTTATTTTATTTTGTATCATTGCAGGAGAGTGAGTTGGAGAGAAGAACTAAGGAGGTGAATTCATTGCATGTAAAGTTGGAGAAGTTGACAGAGCAGCTGAAGTTGTTTGAAGGAGGGAAGAAAAGTGGTGATGAGGTAATCTTGCAGCTCAAACAGGTACTATATGGAGAAGCATTTTTGGAGGTTTTTTTCCAGTTTATTTTCCAGAACTCTCACAAATGCAAGTTGGTCTCTTTTTTTTTTATTATCAGAAGAGTGGATCCCTGGAGAAAGAAGTAGAGAGTTATAAAGCAGAGTTATTGGAGCTGACCAACAAGATGTCAAGGCTGGTGGAGGATCAACAAAGGAAAACATCTGTAATGCTCCATTCATATGTTTGACAATGCTGCATCTCTAATGTATAAGAGTAATTTCCATGGGAGAGTTTTGAGATGTCTTGAAGCTGACAAAGGTTCATTTGCATTGGAAGTATGTTAATGTATAGATATTGTACCTCAAAGATTCTCATAAATGCAGTGAAATAACTCAGTGATTTACATCCCTTAAGGACTGGATTACTTATTCAAGCATCATCTCAGAATTTGCTTGCAATGCTGGACCATCTAGCATTTCTGTGTTTGGGATTAAAAAAAGAAACCTCTTTTTATGGATTTACTCTGTAACAACATAGTTCTTCTATGGAGTTGATCTCTCTTGAATATACTCTCTTGTAAACTCACCTCAAATTAGAGGCCTGTTCTCAGTTTTGCAACCTTTAATTTTTTTTAACTGCCAGGAGCTGGGAGAAGCAGATAAAATGTTAGAGCTGCTGAAGGCACAGCTGAAGGATGCAAACAGTCAGCTGGAAGAGGTAGAGCAGGCACGAGATGAGGCCCAGCAGGACATCCACAAATTCAAGGAAAAGTTCCAAATCATTGAGCAACAGTACCAGGTCTCGAAGGACAAGCTGGAGGATGCAAGCACTCAGCTGTGGGAGATGGAACGGACATGCAGTGAGGCTCAGTTGGATGCTCTGAGGTTCAAGGAGAAGACCCAACTCCTGGAAGAGCAGCTTCTGGCCTTAAAGGACAAGCGGGGGAAAGATGATGAGGAGTGGATGAAACAAAGGGACAACCTGGAAGCACAACTCTGCACAACACAAAGCAAGGTCTCTGTCTCTGTTCTTGCAGAAAAAAACATTGGCAATGACCAGAGATGTATTATTAAAAAGTTTACTGCGAAGTCAAGAAATTTTGTGCACTCCTTTAAAATTTGTCAAATGTTGGAAATAACTGGAACAGAACAGTTAAGCAAGGTAGGAGAAGCAAATGGTGTCTGGAGTTCATGCTGGCAATTGCTTGCTGCAGCTATTGAAAGTATGCCCATAACATGTATGTTTGGTGACATGATGGTTTAGATTGAATCACCATCTGGATTTTCTAACTTTTATGCTAACCTGCCCCTTTCACCCTGCCCATTTCAGTACAATTCCAGAAGGCAGAAACAAATTTTTTCCCCAGATCTACTTTCTATTTAGTTCTTGTGAAACAGAAGAGATTGACCTTGAGGAGAGTGAATGTGCCATGAGAGGGGAAATAGAGGTGACAGGAGTAAAACATTAAACCCTGACGTGCCAGTTTGAGTATTGTCATATAAATTCTTGAACAGTACATTTCCCAGAAGGCAGATTAAGGGAATTATTTAGTTTTTGTTCACATTGACCTTTTGTTGCATTATTATTTTTTGGGTTTGAAATAAAATTGATGCCTAACTGGCATGCTTTGTCAAACTGGCAAAGAATCACTGTTTAGCATCAAACTACAAAGGCAGTGTATTTCAATGCCATAACGCTATTAAATTTAAATATGGTTTGCAGCACATATGTTTTAAAGGGGTTAATGGATTTCTGCAATCAATGCAGAAGACAGTTATGTTTGTTTCCTAATCATCTCTCTTTCTCTGATCTCACGCTTTTATGAATAGTTGCATGGAAAAAATGATCAATTATGACTTCATGAATTGACTTCTTTTATTGTCAATGTGACCTATAGTTTCATATGCCATCATTAGGGAAAGGCTGAAAATGAATGACTGGAATTAGTGATGAAATTATGATAGTTTGCACTCATTACAACTACTGTTTATCAGGAACCATCAGAATATGAAAATTGTCTACCTTTCTAACTTTTCTAGAAATTTTCTGCAGTTCAACTCTTCTGGAAAGTTTGATGACCCATTAGATATTAGAATCCAATTATGTTCAAAAGTTATATTTTACCTCATGATTGTACTTTCATCTTCATGGTTTTATTGCCCACCCTGTCATTCCAATTTCATTCTCATAATCTGCCAATTACTTTTTTTAAATTTTAACATATATGAAGGTGAAAACAGAGTGGAATATCATTAAGATGTTATTTTATTATTTATTATGAAAACAGTTTTTCCATTTTTGTTCCTTGGTAAAATTTTTTGTCCTGGTATCATCATAGTCTTGTTATACAGAACATTTTAGGATGCTCTTAATTTCTCCAAGCAAACCATTGCAAGCTCAAGATTTTAAAAGGAATTTTGGATTTCAGGCTTCAGTTCCTGTTAATCTTATAAGTTGCTGGTTATCTTTCTTGCACCTGCATTTCTCATCTACAAAAGTGAAAAAGGTAAATGTACACATTAAAATAGATAAATGGTTTCTTTAAATGTTCTTGGAAAAGGAAGGTGCCATTTTGCTCAGCAAGATATCAATATTTCATGGCATTGATTTCCTTCAATTGGATGGCCAATTCATTTTAGATTGCTGAGTGGGACTCCCTGTTGCTCAAACAGAATGAAGAGATGCAAGAATTGGCACGTTCCAAAGCCTGCTTGGAAGAGGAATTGGCTACAAGGAAAAATGAGTTATCCCAACTGCAGACATCAGCCCAGGTCAACAATGCCTCATGACTTTTCGAAAATTCTAGTCATCCATCACTGTCTCCATTTTTCCTCTTCTTGAATATATTCACAATACATTAATTCTATCAGCGATGCATGCAATGCACCCATCAACCTTTTTGTGCAGCCCCTGTTCAAAGAAGTAAAGGTAGACATATTTCATTTGTTCATCACCATAAGGTGTTTTTCATGGAGGTGCTTTAACTTCATTAACCCTTTTGTGGAACATTTTTACACTGCATGTCTATAGAATTTTAAAATAAAAAGTGTAAGTCTTGCATGCACATGAGATTTTGGAACTATATGAAATGAAGCTTTATTAAGCCTCTATGAAAATTAACTTGATGAATGCGATGAAAGCCAAAATACCATAACTGCAGAGAGGTAGCTTTCACAATCATCTAGAGTCACTTGCAGGGTTTTGTGTAACAGCAGGAGTGGCTCATAGATAGGGATTGGTTAAATTACACCAGTCCTAGCAAAAATTTATGTATCAAAACTGAATGAGTAGCATTTAGTGCTCCTGGTGTAAAAAAAAAAAAATAATTGCCTTATACAAATGCCACAACTTCATTTGCATGTTTCCCAGTTCTGGGTTTGTATAATACACTTGCTACTGGATGCCTTCCATGGTAGATGCCATGTTTCCAGAGATGACTTGATGGGAGTGACTTAATCTCTGAGACTGGCACATAACTCGGGTCAGGTTAATGTGTTATCACCCAATGCATTCAGTGCTATGTGCACTGAATGCATTCACCCATTGCATTCAGTGCTATGTGCACTAAATGCATTGGACCTGGGCTATTACTCAAGTAATAGTCCAGGTCACAACTGATTGCACCCACTCTATCTCCCCCTCTTGGTTGGTCCTGCCCGAGACCTCTCTCTCTCGAGACACCTCTCTACTTCCTTCCCACATCGCTTCTTCTGCTCACTGCTCAACTCCTTTCTTCCCTTATCCATTTAGAATTGGTTGTGAATTGATCACCATAATTGTTTAGAAATAGCTCCCTTCACTGCTGACTGAATGTCTCCTCTCCTCAGACAATTCGCTGTCTCATATCAGTATCATTCTGGTGTTTGTGCTTGAGTACTTTCATTATTCCTACTAGATATTTATTCTGTCCCTTCATTGAGCTTGAATTTTTGTTATTACTTATATTTTTCAGGTATGTATTAAGGAGAACATTGAAAAGTTGACCAATTTTTTATCAGGATGGGAAAGGAGCTTGAGTGTGAAATTTATCATTTCATTGGTTTTACAAAGACTTCATAGGATTATGAAAAAATATTTCAGCTGCAAGGGTTGTGACGGTTCATAGACCTAAGGTGAAAGTATTCCATTTATTGTCAACTTTGAACAATGCCACAACAGGTTTTTGCTCATGAACATATCTCTGTGAGAACAAGTGAAAGTTGTTGGTTTAAGCAAGTACTGACCACTGAAGAGTTGAACAATGTTGATGTAGCACTTGCACTGATGTTTTTTGATGTTCCACTGATTATCCAATCCAATCCAAATACCAACTTGGCAGCCATATCTTTCTTTGTTACATTGACATACTGGTCTGAAGCAGGACTCCTGCTCAAGACCCAGCCTTTATATCCATAAGTGGCAGTCTGGCCTAAATGGCATCATTTTAATATAAACAGCACTTTTTCACCAATGTCACAGTATATCACAACATCTCAATTTTTAAACACTGTATTTTCGATCATCATTATTGGTTATATCAGACCCCTTTTGATTAATATTGGCTCATTGCAAATCAGTAAAATTCCTGATTGGTACTGTAACGTTCTTAGTGAGCATGTTGAAAACCCCTGTATCCAGTCAGTTTCCATGGTTTTATAGCCTTTTCTTCTGCATCTAGTCTACCCTAAGGGCAAGTGCTGAGAATAAGCTATGGCTGGAGGAAAGCTGACTGATAGGCCTAGATTTAGCACAACAGCAACATCATCCCAGAAATGTTGGATTTCCTGGCCCCAGTAACCAAATTATCAGTAGTTAGCACAGAAGCACAATTGAGGAGTTCTCTGGAAAAGGGGCTAATGTGCCCATACGCCCTTTTTCTATATCTGTGTCCATGCACTGCTTTAGGTGACTAGTCATAGGATAGGGTGGTCAGCAAGTAGTTAACATGCATATTCTGCAAAGAAGAAGCAGATTTTCCTATTCTCTCATTATAGAGCAGGCCAACTGCCTGGAAATTCCAATATGGCTGCCTCCATGAATATTCCATTAGCACTTGCATGCTGAACGATTTTGGTGGAATTATTTCGTTCTTGCAAACTGAAAATGAAAATGAGGAAGAAACCAGACATGAGGAAAGAGAAAGAAAGAGGCCCATGAACCACTTTCATTCATTTCAGTCATTCAAGCTACTGGAATGATGTGAGAAGTTGGAGGTATCCATGAAATAGTTGCATATTCAGATGATAAATACATTAATAATGGAACACTGCTGAGTGATTGATAAATGAAACATGTCCTGAATATTCACATTTTCATTGCTATTCTTCAAGAAAGAGTTTATTTGAAATTTGAAGATCCATTTATTGATTAATTATTATTTTTAGCTGGAAAGGAGTGGTAAAAGACTCATTGGAAAAAGTTTCAGCTTCGCGGATATGGAAAAGGGCGTATGTGCATAGACACATTCTGCCTGCATCTCCGGAATGTGAGATAAAGAAATTCATTACAACCCCAGGTTCAATTGGATAAAGGTCTAAGATACCATTTTACTGATAATTAGGTTTTGACCAGCTTCAGATTAGCTATGGGAAGTTTTTATTGTTTATCTCGAATTGCATCTTTTGCACATATGCCCTTTTTCTAGAGAACTCCTCAATTACTATTGTGACTCAAAACACTATAGCCTTACAAAAAACTGGAGTTTGTCCATATGAACGCATGACCCATTTAAGACTCATATTTGTGGGTTTTTGTATCTGTGTCTGTTTTGTATGAAAAAATTCATTAAATTCTTTACTGCTAGGATGCAGAAAGAATTTGGAAGGAGTTAGAATCCCTGCAGAAGGAGAAGAATACATGGGAATATGAGAGGATGGAAGGGGAGAAGGCCAAGGCATCCCTGAAGAATGTTGAGTCTCTCCTCAAGGAATCCCATGCCTTGCAAGTGTCCAGTGAGGAGCTTCAACAGGAGAATGAGCAGAGACTCCGAGAGAACTCCTTACGTGTTCAGGAGATGCTTCGCTCTCAAGTGGCTCTGCTCCAAAAACAAATTCAGGGTTGGTCTTACATGAAAAATGCAGCCACATAATTAAATGAGTTTTAATTTATTTTGCAGTTTTAGTGACTTTTCCACCCAGATGTTTTGTGCCCATAAGTTGTTTTTCAATTAAATTTCAGTTGTTTATCAAATGAAGTTGGTTTGTTCCTAAAAGATTATGAACTCTTTCAACTGTTCAAAAGCATTTTGTATCTTGGTGTTAACATTTTGTTGGGTGACATTTATTTTATATCTCAACTAAACATACTTCTGTGAAAGGAGCAAAAGCAACTTCCAAATTTCATTAAATAAATACTATTAAGCACTAATGAATGTACACTGCATAACTTCATTTCCCTTCCTGCATTCTATCATGTATGCATGACTACCTTTGGATCATTCATAAATGAGGATCATTCATTAGAATGGACTTAAAGCAAAGTGAATCTGATAGTCAGAGCAAGAGGAAATGCTAAAATGTTCTGTCTCCAAGGACTATTTTATGCACTAAGATGTGTGCAAAATGCAGGGTGTTTTTTTATTAGCACAACCCATGAAAAATGGCATAATTTCCTACATAATGCAACTAGTGAGTTGAAACTTTGGATGAACATAGATCCAAGCATGCACACACAACTCACTTTATTGCAGCAGATGCTGGAATTGATCCCCATCTATCTCCATGCACAATTGAACTCAACACTGCAACTTCTAAAAAGTATGGTGTAATGGATCAACAGGAATGTAACAAATGCTTCTTTTTATGTTCTCCTTTAACTCCAGAAAACTAAGCAGGTGGGTTGTTTTTCCAAAGCTATTCAAAATTCCACTTCGGTTTTTGAGAAAAGTTTATTCTGTCAAGTGTGTTTTTCCAATAACCTTATTTTTTCAGGTGATTTTTTCATAATGCATCTTAAGTTTAAGAAATTGGTACCACCCTATAGTATTCCATTAAGAAGTATTCCAATAATGGAGGTGAATTGTGTTGGACTTACACATTGTCTCAACCATCAACTCAACCATTTACTTTTTATGCTGTGAACTACCTCAAATATTTCTTTGTTTTAATTGCAGAGAAGGATCACGAGTTAAATGCATTCAGACATGAACGTACCAAGCTTCTTGAAGATGTGAGGGCCTTCACTCCCAGGCCCCTACCACATCCTGGGTCTGTTTCCCATTTTTTTTTTGCTTTTTTTTTTTTGCAGTTCTCACTTCTTATAAGAAAAATATCAAATCTGGATTCCTTTATTCAGAGAAGAAGGCCAGTCTTTGCACTTCAAGACCTCCCTCAGCTCTTCAATGACTCACTTTGGGCAACTCCTAAAAGGTACAGATTTAAAACTCATGTTAATTTTAGAACCTCCAAGAACATAAAATGCAAATAGCTTTTTTTATTTTCAGGAACTTTTCTGCAGGAATTTTTCATTAATGATAATGAGGCAAGGAATTTTTTATTTTTAGCAAAGAAACCCTGCATGCATGAGTACAAATTGTTGCTCAGAGATGGAAGGGCTTTTTGTGTAGGTGTAAACCAGTTACATTTATGCCTAAATAGACCTAATGAGTGGTCACAATAAAAAAAGCAGTAGTGTTACACCTGCATCAGGAACTTTCCATGTTAGGAGTTGTCTGAAGGATGGATCATGGTTGACCTCAGTGGTGTCCTAGAACCTATATTTCAAAGCATATCAAAGATGTGCTTTGAAATGGGGAATTAGGGGGGTAGTGCTAAAATTCTTCCAGTGGAGCTGGAAGATCATACATCAGATTTAGAAAATATAGGCATTGAGGTTGCATTAATCTGAAATTGATCTTATTAACTTGGTGCCTGGATGTAGCTAGATTTTTTTTCCCCATAGAATTTATGGATGTTGTGAATTATTGTTAAAAGATATCCAGGCAAAGCTGGAAGAGATGCCAGCCAAGAAGGATGAGGAGGAAGAAAGAGTGAAAGGTGAAATTGGAGAAGTTTGTTCCCACTGGTCCCATGAACTCACCAATGCCCTTTCCCATCGCTTATCTGGTAAAGATGCTACCATGTAAATTCTTCCTTGATTTAGAATTCATCACATATTGAAAACTTACAATTGGAGAACTCCTTACATTTTCCCTTTAGGTGATGCCATTGAGTTGGAGAAGGAAGAAAGGAAGCCATCATTAATCTTGGGAAAATATTTGCTGTGATTTTTCTTATCCTGTGATCTCATACCATTTAAATCTAAGCTAGTCACTCTAGAAATCTTTTTCAAGTATTTTTTTACCTTTGAAAATAAATTGGTTTCACCATGTCTCAGTAGGGAGATTTTCATTTTACTTTCTTCTGTTAGTAGCAAACAAGAAATTCATTCGGTCTTGTGCTTAGGAAGCTCAATACCTATTAGAACTACTTCATTGATAGTCTTTTGTTCCAATTCCTCTCAGAGCATCATTATTATACTTTGAAAAAAAAAAAAGTTGAAAAAAAGTTGTCCATTTTTAGAAGGTACTAGTTTCCTCCATTGACTTCAATGAAGAAGCAAAGACTCTTTTTTGGCCAGAGGCAAAATTTAGTTCTAAGCGACAGAAAATAAAAATGTCTGCATATGAGTTTTCAACATGTAAGCAGTATCGGGTAAGAAATGCATGACTGTAATCAGATTACATTCAGATGGAATGTATTACAGTAATGCATTCTTTTCTTCTGGTAGTAATCAGCTCTGGTATTCAGACAAATTCCCTCCCAAAAAGTAAAAAATTATTTTCTATTACTTCCTTGCTCAAATCCCAGAATGGATGTACCTCTCCTCTGCCTACACCCCCTTTGATCCTTCATCTTGCTCTCCTAACCCTGTTGAGCATTGCCTCCCATACCCTCCTCCCCCTTGCAGCAAGTATGACTGTACCACTACCCCCACCACATTGTAGCAAGTTCATATTGTGAGTCCTTACCCCACAGAACTTGACTGAAAAGTAATCCAAAGTAAACTGATTACAGATTATATTTTCAAAGGAGCAATCTGATAATAGTTATAGGTTATGTTTCTTCCAAAAGAATCTGTAATCAGTTACAGATTACTTTGTAGAAGTCATTTTCCCAATACTACTTGTAAGCAAATTTTATTTCAATGAATACAGCCATATTTACTGATCAATGTATGCAATTCATTTTCTCAGTTATGCATTGCATGTGTATTGCAAATTGTGAAAGTGTGCAGTCCATTGGCTGCATGGGGTTGGTAACTCCCTCTGCACTAATGCACTTTGGGAAAGAGAAATTCAAAGTTGACCCTTGAATCTATCACTACTTGAAGTTCATGAACAGTGTTACAGTTGAAGGATGAGCTCTTGGGGTGAGGTGGTGTTCCCGTCATCACGAGCATTTTGGGGTGGTGCTGATGATGAAGTCCAAGACCACTTCCTCCTCAGGTTTCATCTTTGACCAAATCCATGCATGAACCCATCCCAAATTTTATTTTTAAACCTATCATCATGTTTTCTCTAGGGAACCAGAATGGCAGATGGAAAGTTCAGTGAAGGACATAGGCCCCTACCATCTTGTCTCTGTTGAAGGAAGCATGTTGTCTGGTCAGTGAAGACATGCCTGCTTCTGTGAAAACATGCATCATGCCATAGCAGCAAGGATGAGTTATGTAAAGCAAGGAAGGCAAATTGCCATTTGCAGATTTTGGTGGGTGGATGCTGGAAGAGGGTTCATGCATTCCAGCTGGCCAGGCATTCCTGGAAGGACTGGAGAAGGGTGAAAAGAAAAGGCGAGATCTGGCAACCTTGGCCATGAGTTGCAATCAGCGAGTCTTCCTCCTTGAAGCATCTTGCTTCTTCTCTACTGAGCATGCCCGCCCCCTTCTTCATTCTGTAAATCAATACCTGATTTCTCAAACTTGAATTTTTTTAAATTGTATTTCCTGGAGTTTCTCCTGTTTTGAGGAACTTTTCATCCTTGAATAGTATGGCTTTCATGTTTGCAGTTTTTTGCATCATGCATGATCTTAACCAAGGGTGCTTGTCCTTGTCCAAGTTATCTTGGACAATGACACGCAGCCTATTTCTAAGCCCCAGCATGAACCAGTCACGTGCAGAACTAGAACTAGGGACTAGAAGCAATGGTGCTTTCTTTTTTTTTCATGCAACTTTCCTGGGGCAGATGTGTGTCAGTTCAAGTTACAATAATATTTCTTCTCCAAAGGATTTTTAAAGCTTTAGGACAAAGGTGCAGAGTCAGCATCTTGCTAATCACTGTTGGTTGGTTGAGATTCTGAGAAAGGAATTCCCATTGTAAATCTCTAAAGAAAGTAACATTTTATAGAATTCCCAGGATATTGTTAGCAGCTTTCTTGTCACCATCAGTAATGTAAGTCAGAACCAATTTTTTCTTGTGAATTATCTTCACATTACCATTTCTACAATGGAAAATTGTTAAATTAAAATACATGCACTGTTTATGAGACTGCTTATGAACAATAAACAAAAGCAGAAATTGAATTTGAGATTGGAAATCTCAAAATATTTTAGTTTTGCAGGTTGATTTGAGATCAGCATTTTTTGATAATTTGTCATTATAAGAATTCTTATTTCTCATTGGTAGGGTGCAATTTTTATTTCTCAGGTCATTTGTTGCTCGTTAATAAAGAATGTCACAGTCTTCAGACTTTTCACTTGAATTCAAAGTGTCCCTCTCCCCTCTCCATTTAGCTTTTTATGTACAACTTTGAAGAAACATCTGCAGATCATGCACTGTCCCCAGAGGTTCTGTATATTTCAGTCAACCTTTAAAAAGTGAAATCTTTGGTAGATCCTGAGAGAGCTGAGCAGTCGAGGAGGGACTTGTGAGGGATTTGTGGGTATGGCATCTCTACCTCTAGTCAATTATGTCTCTGATGTCAGCTCTTCATCGTCGTCATCGTTCGCTCCTCTTGTCCGGCGCCTCCACACCTCCCATACTCATCCCTCCTCTGAATTTCACCTTCTCGAATCCCCCAACTTCGTATCTGGCCTTGCTGCTGCTGGTCAGTTTTCAACCATGATTCACCAAATTATTGCATTGAATTTAGTGCCTGTATGTCTTATTTTCCTGGATTGGATATGTGGGAGTCATTCAGTTTGAAGTCCAGCTATAGCTGCAAAATCCACATAATGAGCCGCATGTAAAAACTTCAGTGTTTAGTTATTCACAAGTGATGTCATGTTTTCTGGATAGGATTTGGATACTGATTCTTTCGTGTTTTTTTCTCATATTCTTATTCATTCAGTGATGCCATCAGTTCATCATGGTCATGAGTTTCGATACACCATATGATTGAATGTAAAAGTAAAATCTTTCTGTCTCTTACCATTTATTTCCTGATTTCATAAGGTTCTTTTTGGGTGTTATTCAGGTCTGGAATGGAGTGAGGTGAACGGTGTGGCAGGAGAAAGCTTTATGGTGTATTATGATACCCCAGATGTGGATGCAGAAGTGTTTTCGTCCATTAGGCATGCTCTAGAAGCATCCTTACTTTCCTCCTCTGCCTTCTGCCTCCCCCTCCGACCTTCCCTCTCCCGATCTAGGTCGCACACTGGGAAAGGTAACCTTTATACCTGATCCCTCCTCTCATGATCCCATACTGCAATGGATTTCGGATTTCTTGTTTCCAATAAATCCCATGATCATCAGACTAGCTTTGCTTTGACTTGAGGAGGAGGAGCTTAGGGAATGACCCTTGATCCAATGGAAGGTCCGCTTGTGCCGGATCGTTGATCGAACATTCCATTCTCATTGGAGTGTTAGGATTGAACTCCATGGATCAATTCCAGCGACAGCAGTTCGTAGATTGTAAAATGATCGAAGCCTCTTGAAGGAAAAAGAAACATAATTTGTTATCACTTTGGCATATAGTGTGGGGTGGTAGCGAAGTAAAAGTAACGCGTTACAGTTACTAATTGCATTTTATGATAACTTCAGCGGTAACAAGTTACTTTGTAGGGACTAGTAATGGAAACAGTAACTTCTTTTCAAATGAAAATTTAGTAGCGTTACTGTAACACGTTACTCTAGATGACAGTCAACTTATGCTGAAAATGAGTGCTGTATCACAAACATTCATCCTTTTCATCACGAAGCTAAAAACGTGGTTCTCAAATTCGATGCCCCAACCAGCCAATAGCGCCATGGCTATTGAGGCTATTGAGGACAAGCAGAGACATTTCAACTTAACCCTTTCAGACCTGAATTAAAGCCACTATCGGAACAATATACTTTTTTTTGCATTTTTGGGTCATTTTCTTATTCTACTTTCACTTTTTATACTCTATTATCGTTTTTATAATTTATATAAATATACCGTATATTATATATTATACATGTAAATATATAACTGAACATTATACAAACTAACAGCTGAAATAGGCTTCCTACAGAGTTCAGTCGTACAGAATAGTGTCCATTGTAATGGAATATGGGGTGCTAAGTCACGAGAATCCCAAAGAATCACCATAGACGCATAGGAAATGTGATGTCCATTGGAATGGACACGGGGTCTGAAAGGGTTAAACAGAATTTCTTTCTCCAGCTTTGAGGAGCAGCTAAGAGTGGACTCCACACACACGAGGACATTGCATTGTCACAGCTCCCTGCCAGCCAAAGTTTGTTGCATCTTCGAATAAAAATGCAAAACTGTTTCTTGGGAGTGCCGAGCGACTTTCATGCATCTACACCAGCATGTGGTAAACTTTCCCTGAGATGCTTTACAAAACAGGAGTGGATATAATACAAAATATCCATGTCATTCACTGGAATACTGTCAAATTGATGACCAGTTCCAGGTCGACAGAGCTCGGGAAAAGTAACTTGAACATGTAGCTAGTCACTATCGAGAAGGAATTATACGTGCAACTAATTGCTTCTAGGATAGAATACTTGTAACTAGTTACTTTCACATGCAACGCGTCTAACACTGCTGGCATGTTCCTTAGTCCAATCCCATTTGTGGGAAGAGCGAAAAGTTATTGCTGGTCTGTGTGCGTTTGTATTCCCAGGGTTTTAGCTTAGACTGTTTACGGATGATTTTCTGCAAGGCATTTTTCTCCAGGTCATCTCTCCTTTTAAGCCAGAACGTTTTATCCGAAAAGAAGTACATGTATTTTTGCCTGGACTGAACGGGGCAGGTTAGAATTTAACCCCACGATCGTCCCTTGTTTAGTTGCATACTATTTGAATGAGAGAACGTGCAACGCAAGATTTAAAGGCATATGAGTGCTCAACTAAAAGAGCAGTTTACCCATTTAAAGGAAATCGAAGAAACTGGAAGCACCTATGTTAATTGTGAAGGTGTATCAGTCCTATTGCTGTGAGATCATGTGGCAGTTGCAGGAATCATAAGGTGCTGAGTTGAAAGAATTTCTGTCTTGGCAACCCCAATGAAGATAGCTAATCCTTGTGGCTAGAACCTGTTCCTCCAAGGAGACTCCACCCATCTTCCTCGGTTAATTATGGAACTCTCGACTGGCCTCAGCAAGGCAGCCCAGCTGCACCTTGGTTATACCCAGATAACATATTTCGTGGGGCCCACGTTGGCCCAACGTGGTCCTCCAACGTCAGGATACGTAGGCCCCACGTGAAAGTGACCGTTGGGCCAACGTTGGCAGTAAGTTGGATAGCAACGTATAACCCACTTACCCAAGTAGCTGGTTTTTGCTCTATATCGTCATTTCGCACCATATACTTAGATTCCCTTTCCAGTGGAGGCATTCCCATCTGTAGTACGGAACCTGTACTATATACTACAACCTATCAAGGACCTGTCTCCTATTGGTAGGAGACATAGGACAGTACAGACGTGGACATACTCCTGATTGTACTAATTACAGTACATGTCAGAGGATGGACCACCTCGTACGGTTCCATGAAATATCCGCAATATCAGTTCTTCATTTCCTCCTATAATGGAGATGAGAAAATGGCGGAATTGAGCTCACGGATGCTTCCTCTATATTTCAAACCTCCTATTCGGATGGAATTCTTCCGCCTTTCAAAAGGATTCTCATCGGGAATATGAGTTTGTTTATGGCCTGAGCTCCATGAATCTGTCTTGAATAAGTAGATAACAAATGATGACATGTCCGCGCGTACTGATTCCTACAATGAGATTAGGCAAGACATGGCGAGGTACTAAACGATCCTGCGAAGGACGATTCCAGGGAAAGAGGGAAGGGATATTTTGCGGAAAAGCGAGACCTCATACCTGCATCTAGTGGCCTGGCGAATAACTTCAAGGTTTTGAAGTTCTCCACCAGGAGTGCTGCAGTTCTTTTCAACGTGTTCCCCAACATCCACGTTCCGTCGTTTCCCACCTTTATCCAATGTGGGCCCAACGTAACGTGTTATCTGGGTATGTATTGTAATATAGCTGAAGTCTCTGTGCGGAAGTAGACGACATTCTGTAAGTGATGGAACTTGGAGAACGGATGCCCTGAAGCACTTCAGAAACCTGCGAATCCTACTTGTTTCGTCATATTTTTTATTTCTCCATATTTTAGTAGAGTCTTTGACTCGACTGGAGGCTGGAGGGTGTTTGGTACGTTACCTGTGAGGGGTCAGATCCGAAAAATTTTCAATGTTCATGACAGGACAAAATATGTAATGTTTCATCAGGAACCTAATGGGGTATTCCAAATTGACATCAGAGATGAACTGGACGAGATACAAGGATTCAAGGGAGGTAGTGTGGAGTGCTATTATTGAGAAGGTGAGACGGTCAAATAAAGAAGAGAAGCAGAGTAGATGATTATCTTATCGTTCTCAATGGATAGATTTTTTATGTTGTAGAAGAATGATCTTGAATTTTGCTACAGCACCCATGACCAGTGTCCGTGGGTGGCAGACTTTAGGCGACCAGAAAAGTAACGAACACCAACTTTATTGCAAGTACAAAACATACCGTAATGCTCCCCAGATCAAGCCATGCACTTATGTGTCTCACTCCAACCTTTCCGGATCTGATCGTTACCCCAATCATCTACTGAAATAATTGTATTTCCTCTGATTGAATCAGAGATCTTGTGTCAACTCCTTTCAATCGTATATTTAACATTTTCTTCTCAAAGACCCAGAGAATTGTTCTCGAAAGGGTAGAATCGGTTTCGATGGATCGAGAGGGCAGGGACATACATACGTCGGTGTTATTAACCGACTATCCCGAGAACTACGACGAGTTACGAAAGACTGAAAGCACACATGTTTGGTAGGAAAATTATGCTGAGACCAATAGCTGAAAGTTAACCTACGCTCCAGTTACTCCTCTGATTGCGGTAAAATAATCATCCTCCAGCAAAAAAAAATAATCATCATGGACTCATGGGTGCCATGCGTACATAGAAATGCTTCAGAGCTCGTACGTATGCTGACCAATCGCGAGGTAAGTTTCATCCGTTTGCCCTTCGGCCTCACGTGTCCAGTCGAGTGGTTTGTTAGCAATGTTCTCATTCATATTTCCGTGTTTGTTGTTTTGTAATGATCATGGCATGTTGTGTCTAGTTTGGGACCTTACTATACGACTTTTCGATGATATTCAGCAGCGGTATGATGTAGAGGGGCTGAAGGGGGGACACGTGCCCCCCCCCTCTTTTAGAAAAAAAAAGAAGCAAAAGTAAGAAGGAAAAGGCGCACGAAAATGCTTTGTAACAGTGTCCCATAGAGCCCCGTGCCTCCCCACTTTTTCCATTCACGCTACGTTTGTGATTGTCAGATCTGTAGTCTCTTCAAATTCGAAAATCTTGAAGAAGACTTGTCTCTGTGACCCTGTGACTCTGCATTGATATTATCATCACAGCTTTTCTCTCGATAAGCGAGGGAAGGAAAGCGGGAGCGCTTGTGACCTGAATGTGTAGGGTATCTCACGACCTTTTTCACGTTTACCACATCACTCCACTTTTTCCTATTTCCTGAATCTCACGGTCTTTTCCGTATCGCAATCTACGCATGTATCACCATTGATAGTACTAGAACGGAAACAGTTCCCATTTGTATCGCATCTCCTCGGTGTAGGTGGAAGACGATAATATGTTCAAACGTGAGGAATTTTTCGTCCGCCAAGTCGCCAATCGAGTCACAAGTGTAGCCAACTTCATTTCCAAGCCTTTTTGTGCGGAGAAATCGTAGAAATCTGAGAAAAACTAAGGAGGTCGATCGGCTAGAAGTTTATTAACGGACATGAGAGATGAACAGAATTGAGATATCGCATATTCCTGGGAATTTCATCGTGCACTTCTTGGAGGGATCGGCTGATGCTTTGCTTCCTCATATCATTATACCCAAAGAGTGGAGACGGAAACTCCGAGGAGGCGCGAGAGTCAAAAGGAAAAGCAAGTCTTATGAGTTCATGAGGTGATTTGGGATTGTAGAACCTCCATCTCGCCGGAGAGAAAAAAAAAGGGTAGAAAAAAATTAGTTCATGAAGGTTTTCCATGGCGACGATGAATCTCTAGGGCAGACGAGCCCGGAGGGGAGAAAGTGTCAGCAAGAATCCGGTACCCATCTACGATTCTACGCAGGGGTCACGGCGAAGGTAGTAAAAGCCGTCTTTCCTCTTTTCTATTCGTCTGTCCGAGACGACTCTGCCGCGTGTTTTCTTGGGTTCTCAGTCCGGTCGGAAGTGTGTGCTTCTTCTGCTGAAGAAAATCCTGCTTTCATTTTCTCGCTTCTCGTAGCCTGGATCGAGCGAGATGAACGTGGCCAACTTCGCTGCCGGCCCTGCCAAGCTTCCCGAACGGGTCAGTTCCTCTTGTTTTCTTCTATGAAATCGGCTCGGTCTCTATTTTGCTTTCTGGAATTGGCTCCCACGAGACACGCTATCGCTAGGGCGATCGAGGAGATTTCGACCCCTTTTATACTAGGTATGACACATTAGTAATAATAAATGGGAGAAATTGTAGGGCAAAAGCTTCTGGCGGTAACCGTTGCTTTAGTCGTAGTCGCTTTGGTTCGTCTCCCTACCGTTCGTGATGTAGTTCCATGGCTTCTCGACGACGGACCTAGGTATTTTCAGAGTTTCATACAATCCTGTCCATTCTGCTCTCCTCGGGAGCTTCTCGACGAGAAGCGCCCATAAGGAAAGCATGACCTTTACAGTTCTTCGAATAACAAAAAGTCAGACAAGTTTTTGCTGAGTCTCGCTGAGGATGCAGAAAGAACCCAACGCATACTGAACGATCTATATCCTATCGAATGAACGGGAAATGTGCTAGTGTGCTGCATTTAGAGGAAAATGATTTACCCTAATTTAATTGTATTTCTCGTGAAACCAGAACGGTATAAGCTCTAGTTCCATTTTAAATGGAATGTGGTAGCGTAACCACACCTTACTACGCTCACACGTCATACAATATCGAGTGTTTAGTCCCAAGCGTGTTTGACGAAGAGTAACCCAGTAAAAAAAAGACAAAAAGTAAGGGTGATCTGATTAAATTGAGAAGATGAACTTCGTCGATTGTTTCGTGTTCAGGGAATGAAAACTAAACGTCATTTTTCCCAAATTGTGTTCTTTCATCCTGTTACTACTGGCCCGGCGCGAGAACGTCTACGTTTATCACAGATAGAGAACTCAATCAAGTCCCAGATGATTTACGAAAGCATGTTCTATTCAACGGTTTCATTGTTTCGTTTGCTCCGAATCTAATGCTCTAAATAGAGAAGTTTGAATCTCCTCCAGTCTGGAGTTCATCGTAATGCGGTGGCTGTGGTTTCGACCGGAATGAACGGTGTTCATCCCCGAACGCATTCAGAAGTAATGCCAGTTCTGCTCGTCGGTGTTAGTATACGAAGGGAATTGGAAATGCCGGACAGGTGCTGGAGAAGGTGCAGAAGGAGTTGCTGGACTACAAGGGAACTGGGATCAGCGTCCTGTGCACGAGCCATCGGTCCAAGGAATTCACTCAGATCAACGACCACGCCGAGGCTACCCTTCGAAAACTCCTGTCTCTCCTTTTTCCTTTTCCATGATCACGATGAAAAGAACCCATTTAGGTCGAAATCGCGTCGAAGTTCCTTTCAGGATCTCGGCAAATCCCAGCGAATCTCTTGTATCCTAAATTCAGCACGGAATGAAAATACGAGATTGAAAAGTGGATGAGTCTCTGCTTGATGCGCGAAGTCGTCCTCGCGTGTTGCACTGCGTCGGTCATTCGAATGCTTCTATGCCCCACGATGTCGACTCCTAATTCGCCTGTTTTAGGAAGAAAAATCACATATGCGTTCCCATTCATAATCGTAATGAAGCAGATTCTCTCCTAAATCCTCTTTTGCATCGAGAAATGAAAGCGATATTGGTTTAAACTGACAATTGTGCAACACGTGCAAGACGCAAACCATAGCTGAGCGTCTCGCTCCCAAAAAGATGCATATGTCGTAGGGTTTTGTGGAATTCAGGGGGATTTCGAATCTCCCTAGGGAGAGACAGAATTTTGCTAAACCCGCAGGTTTAACGTAATCTTCTCGAAATCCTCCATTATGTCTCCTCCCCCTAGGGGGATTCCAAATCACCCAGATTAGCTGCCAACGGTTCCTTTTACTAATTACTTCTGTCTGTTCTTGGGATGCAAAGCAGTACGTGCTCGTCAACTTAAAAACTCTTTCTTCTTTAGTGGTAGGCAGAAGCAGGCACGTCATTCTCACTGATAGCTAACAAGGCATTCTTCAGCCTTAAATAATCCGTCAACACAAACGAAAAAAGAATTGCTCTCGGCGGGACAAACCTTAGGAAGGGCAATTTTCGAGCCAGGGAGGGAGGAATCTTCCTAGGGTGAAGTGACATTGACACGACTTAGAGAGGATTTCGCAAAACACGCAGGTTTAGCGAAATTCTGTCGGGAGATTCGAAATCCCCCTGAATTCCATAAAACCCTATGACATATATGCATTTGAAATTGCTTTGAATAAAGAAAGACTTGGGGAGCCTGTTCAAGGTTTCGTGCTCGTTGTCTATTTTTCTTTTTTTTTTCTTATTTTCATTTTTTTTACTACTTCTTTTTCTGTGAATGATCTAGCCTTTATGGATCTCGTTTCTTTGTCACATTGCCCATTTTAGATCAAAGCTGTTCTAATAGCAACGTTACGTTAATCGTAAACATACGACGACGTGCTTAAAATTTTTTTTTTTTAATTCTCTTAGCCTGATTTTATTATTCTTGGTATTTTTCAGAGATGTGCCTCCGAATTACTCGATCCTCTTTCTGCAAGGCGGTGGAGTCGGTCAATTCGCTGGAATTCCACTGAATCTCCTGAATGGATCGTCCGAGATGGATTACGCCGTGACGGGTCTGTCCCTTGCCACATCAGGGATCTATTCAGTTTCACCAAAGATCTCGCCATTTCACCGATTTGATTTATTTCCGCATCGCAGGTTACTGGTCGAACAATTCAGCGAAGGAGGCAGGGAAATATGGACAGGTGAATTCGGTGCTTCCTAAACTGGATTCCTATACGGGAATCCCCGATCGTGGCACATGGAAACTCTCGCCCCAAGCTGCCTACTTGTATTATTGTGGCAACGAGACCATCTGCGGTGTGCTTCAGATATTATTTACAGTCGTTTGTGTTGTTAACATAGTTATCTACTTTCGTTGTCAGTTCTGAGCGAAGTTTACGCTTTTTCACATCCGCTCTTGTTTTTTATGTAATTTTTCCTCCGTTTTTCGATAGGAGTGGAATTCCAAGATGTGCCCGCAGGACTGCCTGGCGTACCTTTGGTGTGCGACATGTCTTCGCATTTTCTAACTCGCCCCGTCGATGTCTCGAAGGTTAGTCTGGATATCAGGAGCTCTGGATGCCAACGAACACGCATGATGAGAGATCTCGGGGCATAGACCTTGGGGATAACCGAGAAAAACAAGCCGTAGGCACATGGAGGATGTTAGAGGAAAGAATCGTGGCAGCTGCCCGCATACGAGACATATTGAAGATTAGGATCTCGTGACGAGCTGAACCAAAGAGCTGAAACCACTCTGCGACCGCCACCGTCGCCATCGGTGAAGACGTCACGTGACTCCACCTCGTTCTCCTTTCTTACGTGGGAATATGGACTGTCCAACTAATGTACTGTACCGTACAGTGTCTTAGCCATTTGCACATGTTTGTATCCATTTGACGCCCGACGCAAGAATGGCGATCATCCAAGGATTTATCGTGCAAATGTATAGGAGACCGGTGCAGGAAAATTCTTAAACATGTGAATGCAGAAAAGCAGAAGTCCAAATTCATCGTAAGCCATGTGTCTTTGTCCTAAGCGTGAGAGAGACTCGCGGAGATCCAAAAATGGAATCTTATAAAGGTACCATCGCGTGGCTACATTTGCCTCGCACCTATGGCCTCGATGCGTTCCATACGGAGAAATGCATGCCTTGTTTTGAGATAGGACGGTCGAATGAGGATGTCTTGGTGACTGTCAAACGCGTTCTGAAGCATCATTTTCAACATGAAATGGGGTAGTTCGCACGATAGATCCTGCCTGGTTCTGGTTAATTCTTGAGTAGGGTCCCAAATGGGTAGATAGAAGTGAAATGGCCAAGTTAATGGGACCATGCATTCCAGGTGTAGTTGGAGAGTATCTGGGACACCACCGAGGAGGACGGTGAATGTCGCGGATGCCTGGATGGATGGTCTAACTTGTGGATCGAAGTTCCTGGTGACTAAATTTAAGGCAATTCCCGGAGCACTTTGCACTAAAACAACCAGCCGAATTATAAGATTGTGGAAGAACCTCCTCTCTATAATAGCTGTTTATCTAAGTCTTTGTTGTACCTAGTATTCTGTATCCTGATTACTCCAGATTAACCCTAGAAGTGCCAGAAGCTGCACAGTAGCCTACCAACGTCGATTTTATCGACGGTTGGCACTTCTAGGGTTAAAGTCATTGAATACTTGGGTCGGTTAAAATGAAAATTCCGATTTGCAGTACGGACTGATCATGGCGGCAGCACAGAAGAACGTAGGTCCAGCCGGGGTAACTGTCGTGATCGTGAGAGACGATCTTCTCGGTCGAGCCAATCCCCTTTGTCCCTCCATTCTGGATTATACCCAACAGAAGAAGAATAAGTCCATTCTCAACACGCCTTGCTGCTTCTCGTGAGTACGAAAAGAAAAGCTCGAGTTTTCATGAATGCTATCCTTTTCGATAACTTCGGTCAATCCTCATTCGCATGAACGAGCACGACGCTGAGGTGTCTCAGGAAACCATTCCTTCCTGGAATCCATTTTCTGTATTAGCAAACTGATGTTTATATTGCCGAAATCATTCTAAACTGATAAAGACGTCAAAATAACTCCAGGAAAGTCCTTTCAAGTTTTTCGGCTAGTTATGTTCAGTTGCCAATTCCTCGATCAGTTTTTTCAACCTCTTGAACGCGTGTAAAATTTAATTTTAATAAAAATTGGATCGAATGCAATTTGTATTTTCCTTTTAAATATTTACTCTAGTTAAAGCTCTTGAATGTTTCAATGACTTCACGAGATTAATTTCCTTTCATGTAGGCTGTACGTGACGGATCTGGTTCTGGAATGGATACTGGAGAATGGGGGAGTGGAAGAGATGGAGCGACGTTGCATCGAGAAGAGTGAGAGCCTGTACGGAGCGATTGACGGATCTCGGGGATTCTACTCGAACCCGGTGGATCCGGGATGTCGAAGTCGAACCAACGTTCCGTTCCGGGTGGGTGGAGCAGGTGGAGACGAAGCCCTCGAGAAGGCATTCTTGGAGGGCGCCGCTCAGAAACACATGATCCAACTCAAAGGACACAGGTGTGTTCTGTCACTTTGGGAAATACTTTCCATTTTCCTGCCATTGAAAATATTCTCGTTCGACTAGATCGGTGGGTGGAGTGAGAGCGTCGCTGTACAATGCTGTCACCAAGGAGGAAGTGGAGTGCCTCAGGTCCTACATGATCGAATTCCAAGAAGCCCATCAGAATTGATTTTTCTTTTTCTCTGTGTGCATGTGTGTTCCATCTCTCGGTGTATTGCTCCGTCGCTCAATATTATATTCTTGCTTCCGGTTCCATTTGCTCAAAAGTTCTTGGGAATTCTCACTGAACAGTTTTTTAAATGCTTATACAGAGATCTAACAAAGAAAGGTCCACTTCAAGAGACCGCTGGGCTGGGAAAGACTATAGCTTCATTCCCATTAATTAGATGGAAGACTGCCGTAGAATGAACTGCTGCGGCAGCTCCATCCCTCCGTTTCGTAGCAAGGACCTCATCCTCATCTCTTCCATCCCGTGGCATGGGCCTCATTCGTCCTCCCACACCTTTCAATGGAAAGAAAGGGTCAATAGACTTGTGCGAAGTGTGGAAAATCCGCCTTCTGGCAAACTTTGCACATTGATACGAAAGAATCTTATTTGATGACGAAGTTCCATCCTTTTCCGTTCATCATAAGTATGGGACAGAAAGAATGAAAAAGTTCAAGGTGAAACACCCAACCGCTACGTTGACTGGAACCGGGATCCGCATGGATGCAGAGGGATTGAGGACAATAGAGAAAAACGCGAAAAGGCGCCTCGAACCGTAGAATTTATTATAAGGAAAGACCAACATTTCAAGGAAAAGGCCCCCTTCATCAGGGTTAACTAAAAAGGAGAATAAAAATAAGAGGAATAAGATAATGTAAAATTAAAATATACGACTGAGTCGAAAGGGAAAGACAAAAGATGAAACTTTTAAATTATGAAGTAATCAAAGAACGTGAAAAGAGGGCAACAGAAAAGACAGACACGAAGCAGAGGTACTCGTATAATGCAGTGAGAAAACAAAGAATGACGGCTGGGATGCGTAGGGGAAGGGAAAGTGAGGTGACTGGGCTAGATTGTGGAGTTGATGGCGGGTTTCAGCTTGTTTATCCAGAAATTTTCACGACTCTTGCGATAAAGGGGGTCGGAGAGTTTCACGTGTTTCTATAGGATGGATGGAAAGATCTTCGGACCGGTCATTGTTGGTGTTTAAATGTAAGCCGGTAGGTTGGTTGTACTTCAACTTGGCGTACCGGATGTGTTCTTTGGTGCGATCACTGAACGGTCTACACTTCTCGCCGACATACTGGTCTCCGCGTTTCTTGCACGTAATTAAATAAATGACATTAGAGTTGGAGCAGGTCAGTGAGAAGAAAATTTTAAAAGAAGCACAAGTAACAGGAGTGAAAGGTTGTAGCTTGAGGAAAGTAGGCATGAATAGGAGCATTTGGGAGAACTGCAGAAGTTGAATCCCTTTGGGGGCGGAGCATCAGTAATAGTAATGAGGAACGAACGAGCATATCTTTAAGGTTCATAAGTCTTTTAAAGGCTATTAAGGATGGTTTGGGGAACAACTCCTTGAAGTCGTTGAAAAGCTGAAATTCACGATATTTAACATGAATCAGGCTACGGATGTGTAAGGTTTTAGGGTTGAAGCGCAAAGAAAGAATGAAGTTGATGCATGGTTTTTTTGTAATCTCCCTGTAATGAAGGACGTGACTGCAAGAAGTGGGAGATCAAGTTCAATTTAAACGCAATATCGACGAATGACTAGCATCTAGTTTAGAATCTCGATCTACAATGTCGATCGATAGTTAGCTTTTCGTCCACATTGCACTTAAAGACTCGACCGGTCGAATAAGTTGAGAAAGCAGGCTTGCATCCACCGTCAATACATATTTTGATCGGTTTGCAGCTCACTTACGATCCACTCAATTCGGCAAAAGACATGCATAATTAATGAAGGGTGTCGACATTCGCCACCCTTTACGTCAATAGCACTAGTAAAAGTTTCTTGCAATTTGAACATTTTTTTTTACCTATCCATTTACGATATTTTTCAGCTCATCCAGATGTAGATGCTCGTGAAGAAGTCAGACATATTGCTTCATACTGAAAGTTGACAGCTAGGGCGGTTGTTCCGAAAATTGCCACCGAGGAAGAAGTGACGTTTGCATCCTGTCCGATTTCCAGCAGTTCGAAAATCAAGGAGTTACATCAACTCTGAATTACGGAGAGAAACATATTGAACTTATTTTTCCTTTCTCCATTCTAGCCGTTAAACATTGAGGCCCCTCGTTCTGGATGATGCAATTTGTAGATATTTTTCCGTTTGCAACACCCGGAGACGAACCCTCTTGTGAGGATCAAAAGACCATGACTATACTAACAATTGAGTCTAGTATTTTTTCCGGGCTCAGGAAAGTGGGCCCACAAGTGGAAACAACTCCCAGGTTCCTTCTCGCTTCTCTCCGTCTATTTCTGAGTCTTGTACATGTACTATTGCCGTCAAGGTCCACATTTCATTCCGGTAGAATCGTGAAACGTTCGGCAAGATCTCGGGGTCCTCGACGGCAAAGAAACCGACTAGTAACGCCTTCCGTACCGGTCAATAGACCGACTCACCCTCTACTATTGGTTGGTCCAGTGCTCGTTTCAATTGTAGTTCGGCTGCTTGAAGCTGCCGTTCCCTCGCTCGGGGCCTCGATCCGTAAGTGTAAGGTCGCGCATTTCTTCCCCTCAAAATCGGTCTCTGTTAACCACCTTGTAATTCGTCAGCTCGTCTTCCAGGTGGTTTCCTGGGGGTTCTCCATCGCGTCGTGACGTCGTCATGTTATCCCTCGTCCTTCGTCTCTTTACTTCCCTTCTTCATCGCAAGCCCTTCTGGAACGGGAACTTTATGCCCATTCTCAAGGGGCAGGGGTGAAGGCATTCTAAGATTTTCGGGCTTTCTGTCTCAACGTGTTTCTGATGCCAAAGAAAACTGGAGATCGAGGTCTAGTTTCTTATGTAAAACGGCTGCATGCCTTCATCCAGAAAACTCGTACTTTCTTGGAGACTATTGTCCCCGCCTGCTTCCTCATTCAACCCAAAGAATGAATGGTCGCTCGGCCTCGAGAATCCAAATTTCGCTTTTCCCAATCGTCCTCACTCTCGACGCTTCTCCCGTTTCGACTTTCCCGGCCGAACCTCTCAGTTTCAAGTTCTCCCTTTTGGGATTACCATAGCTCCTCGGCCATTCGCTCGAGCCACCTAGCCCACCGTTGCTCATCGTACCATCGGCATGCCCGTACCGATGACTGAGTTCTCCAGTTTTCGCACCATCATACTGCTATTTCCCATTTGCCAGACATTCTCTTTCGCCTTCAGAATGTGGGATTCATCGTAGGCTTGCCGTCTCGATCGATGATGGTGTCAAACTCGACTCGTAGATTTCTTCAATTCTGATCTGATCGTTTAATCTCACCCCTTAAATCGCCCCAGCGTTTTTTTGGAAAGGAGACTCTTGAGCTCTGGACACTCCCGTCTCTGGATGTGGGATGCTAAGAACATTAGTGAGGACGGCCGAATCTGGGTAGCGTATCCCTCGAGAAACCACTCAGACCAATCGAGTCCCCGAAAGTCAAAGGTTGCTTGGGTGGATTAGATGAGGAGGGGGAATCTGTTGAATTCCAAAGCGTAGGCGCACTACTGGGCCTGAGCTGTTGCCTATCTTATCGTTTCTTAGAGGTTCTAATAATATGTTCACTTACGAAATTTGCATGATGTACAAAACTGCAATGTCTAGTTCTTCCTCGAGTGCCGGTGTAGTACGCAAATCTGACTCCTATCAAAACCGGTTACGTTAGTGTTTTTCACGTACGCAATTGGGACTACCGTGATCAATTTTGCGTAGCTGACTTTACTACCATGGTGGTCTTTCCGTACGCCCATTCTACTATGGTAGTTATATCAGCGCACGCAAATATTACTACGCCCACGCCAAGATGACTCCTCTATGAACAAATGTATTTTCGCATACTTTACTTCTGTGACAATATCAACGAGGTCGTTGCAGTTTTCCAAGTGCTATCACAATGGAGGCTGATGCCTTTATATTTTGTTTCTTCCCATTTTCGATCTGGATGGGTTATTTGCACGGGTCAGCATTGGGGCCTCCTTTATTTTTCACGATTTGACACCCTGTTCTTTATCCTTGAATGTCTTCCTCGCACCCGCATCTTTTCCACACCTTCCATGCCAGTACTTCAAGTAACTGCCGTGGGCTTCACATAGTCATGTCCTTCATTGACTAGGGGTACTCCCATGGTGTAGGAATGTCGCAATCAACTCGTAGTCAGCCATCTCTCCACAATCAAGTTTTCTTCACATACAGTATGAACCGCTGAGATGGTGCTACTGTGCTCTTTACGTCTTTCCTTCAATGCTTAAATTCCTGCACAGATAAGCATAAGACAGGTCAGGTTAAGGTCTCAGGGAAGGCGGTAATGTCACACGATGACCCTGGCGGCGTTGCTGGAAAGAGGTGTTGCTGAAAAGAGCTCGTGCGACGAACCTATACCCCATTGCAAACATTCTGAGTTCACGGTAGTCATTTTGCGTGAATGTAGTGGGTCCTGCGTACGCGGATTTTACTATGGTACTGGTTTCAGCGTACGCAACTTTCACTTCGGTAGTCGTTTCTACGGGGTGGTAAATATTGCGTCCTACGCCGATTGAGTCGACCTTGCTCTTAGTGCTGTGCGCCATAAGCTCGACTGCTAGGCGTTTCTGAAGATTGCTTGCTTACTTGAATCAGCGAGCAGTAAGGGTAGGGATTTCAAGCACCTCATCCCAAGCAAGGTCTAAAACGATTTCATAACCAGCTTTGAATTCGGAAACGGAGCCGAAAGGTAAATATATATATTTCCTAATTGGGTGCGATTAGTGGGATTTACTGCTTTTATTAACCACGCAGACTGATTTGACCGTGACCTCGGTGGACAGTCAACCTGATTGTCATGTAAAAACGTATGGAACATTTCTTGAAGTTTTTTTCTTCATCCTGTAAAATGTTTGGGGGGAAATCTGAATTCGAGGTTGTAACCTACGTACTTTTTGAATAAATCACCTACCAGTAATTTTAAAAAAATTTAGTGCGCGTCTGGCGCTAGTGTGTCGACAGATTCTCAGGTCCTGGTCTTCATAGAGTAAAATAAATGAATTGAAAATGATGGTTATAATGGTTATAAGGAGTAAGAACCAAGTGGAAGGCGGAAGCGAGATATTTTACTGTTTTTCTCCTATTCCTGTTATTGACTACAACCCTAGAAACATTTAAACGAGATAATCGGCAGAGGTTTTGGCGCAATGGAGAGCTGCATCTTGCATAGTCGGGAAAAAATGGTCTAGGGATGCAGTGTCGAAGAACCCCAACTTTCTGAACGTCCGAAGCTGCGGCTCTGGAAAACAAAAGGTTTTCAATCAGTCAGTAAGATTGAATAATTGAGATTTGAACAAGAAGTTGACACAGCCATGAAGATCAGTCAGATAAACAAGCAAACGTCCTATAGAATAGCAGTTAATGTAAGAATTTGCTTCAAGCAAAAGAATTTCTAGAAGAAATTGAATACCAAGAAATACGTTTTTCCAATATATATATATACATTATATATGAGTAAAGAACGTAGATATAAAAAGTAGTTGGCCAAATTAGCAATTACCCAAATGGGCAGTGAAACTGCACTCATTCAAGGCGTGCCTATGTCAAGGCCAAGGCTTGAAGGTAGCAGAGGCAATCTGGGCATCGCTCCAGTCTGTCAGTGTAGGACACAGTTAACTGAATGCATGGTAAAAATACGGATGAGCCTGGACCCTGGATTAGAGTAAAGTTTAAGAAAATTAAATCAAAAAGGTCAACCTGGCATACGACGAAGCCAGATTGGTTTTAATTTGCTTGTCATCAGGAGTGTATGGCGCCTAGCGACCGCATAGTTGCCAGGTATAAGAACTGGACTGTTGCACGTCTGCTACGAGCAGATTTATTGATACCTTAGGAGCTCGCAACCTGCGCATTCTAAAAATGTTTATTTGGTATGTAGCATATCTGTTACGTCAAGCATTAAAGGGTTAAAACGCCACCCCAACTAAATATGCCCCCAGGGGATGTATTGAAAATTTGAAAATTTTCCTGAACTCTGTCTCAGTAGTCACGTTCACGCAAAGTTTTAGCTTTCTCTCCGTTTGACTGAAGCAAAAAAATTACTTGAAAACATCTCCCCCCCCCAAAAAAAAAAATGTGTGCCCCCAGAGCATTTAGTCTGAATTTTTCTGAACTCAGCATCCCAATATGTACTTATGCATCAAATTTCAGGTTTCTCCCATATATAGAACACGGTTAGATTTAGCGTCAGTCACTCAGTGAGTCAGTCAATCACGATCGTCTACATATCAGGGGTGTCAAACATACGGCCAGCGGAGGTGCTTCATCCAGCTTGCTGCCTGTTCTTGAAATTTCCTCCTGGGTTATCTCTCAGCACCCTCCGCGCCCGAGCTTAACCTCGAAGGCGCCCTCACCTCTTCGTCACCATCGTCAATTAGACGATGGTGTCCCCTGGTTGACCCAGGACAGGGCTGTCGGTATTAGAATAATTCGCCGTTCAAATGGAGAGGGATCGTTGACAAGCCGCAGCAGTCACGGAGGCTCGATTCGATGGCCTGCCTCCGGGCAACAGCAGCGCGCGGCGGCAGCGTTCGGGTGAGCCACAAAGACAGGCGTGCGATGTCGAGCGACACAGATGCTGCAATCGCAACTGCAGTGCTGCTGCTGTTGTGGCGGCGTGCGAATCGATATACGCACGATGGTTTCATGCATCACCTATTGGGTAATCAGTGACATGTGGGTTGGTGCGTTATGTTGCCTCGTGTGACTGCGAAATCTCCATTTTTCTCACCATGGTATGGCAAATACGAGGAGCGTTCTACAAGTATTGCCTCCATATTCCCTTTTCGCGACTGAGATAGTATTAAGATATCATCGTCACACTACCCATTCGACGTACTCCAGCTCTATCTCTATGCAGAGTTTAACTAACGAAATCCAACGATGATTGCATTTTGAATAGTCCTATCTGTGTGCGGTTTCGAGTACTAAAACTGTTCACCTTCCAGATCATTCTGAAGTTCAGTGAGCTTCCCTGCCAGCTTAGATTTGAGAGTAGATAACGAGAAGTAACTTAGGGTAAGATCGGATCAATAGAAAAGGGGGGTTGCATCACCTCACTCATCGATCACAGTGATTGGAAAATCTTCCGATCTGTCGCTTGGGCTATTGCCGGGCAGAAGCCTCATGCAGACTTTGTCCATCCCTCCCTGGTAATCTTTTCAACTTCACTTCATAATATTCTAACCTAGAATCGTCCTGCAATAAGTTTCCCTTTTTGTGCTGAAATATGAATTATTAGGCATCTTAGAGATGAAAAAAAAGCCATGAAGCACCTCACACAACATCGTATGCCATCTTATGCCGTCTTGGGGTGACTGGTCATGAATCAATTCCAGTCATTTGTACTTGCTTCCTAACTAGTTCTCTGGCCTAAAAAAACTAAATCCAGGTTCCGTCATCAGTATTAACTTGGGCAGAATGCTTTGAATCTGTATTTTCAGCTTGAGTGATGTTCATACTACCTATTTGTGCAGAGATTATATTAGTTTAATTTAATCATTAGTTTACATTCAGCACTGGAGTAGATTCTCCAGTCGTATTCTCGCACAAAAAATTGTTTATCTTGGCCATCAGGCGAAGCAAAAAGTGCATATAGTAGATTTTATGTTTTTAAATATAAAAATTGACGATGATCTGCATTTTTTGCACGTACAGTCTTCTGGTGGCATAGCCGTCCCATTAAAGGTGTCTCATTTTAAGTCTTATGTCGCCGCTTCCCATACGAAACGTTACCTCCTCGTTCGTCCAAGTTTAACTGCCTTTTCCCCTAATCTTTACCTGAAGGGTCTTCTGACAGATTGAAAGAGGGGAAAAACCGTTTTTTACCACAGTTTCACCGTCCCAATTTTACCTCAGGTAAACATTTTTTGTAAGGGTTGTGGACTCGTATATCAACGGGCAATAGATCAGGTGACGATATGACTTATTCCTTTGTTGTACTAGTGTTTCCATGAATGCTTTGGGCAGTTTACACTAGAATTTCAGTTTTCAGAATCCTTAACACAGCTGGTATTCCAGTACTTGTTTGTCTTCGATGAACTAAAAGTGACATACCCGTGGCTCCAACGAAGTAAACGTTGACACCAATGCTGGTGTAGTCGGTGAAGATGCGGGTGAGGGTGATGACGCCTGAGGCATCCACGGCAGTCACTCCCGTCATATCGAATATGAGATTCCGGAAAGGAAGTTGAGGTTCCATTTTCTCCTCCATCGTTGCTGTTGCCGACGGCTCTGAGCTGCCGTTCGTCTGCATCACCAGCTCTGCGTTCCCCTTCTTCCCTTTCTTCCCCTTCTTCACCTTCTTTCGGAGAGAGTAATCGAAAATTAATAGTCGTTAAATCTCTTCCCGAAAGCCTGTTTTTCTCTTTAAATTAGTACCAAATTTATTGCAATATGTATACTTGCAAAGAATAAAAATTGAAGACATTATTGCGACGGTGGCTTGCAGAAAGCAGTCGTTTTTGCACGGCTCACTATTCAGCAAGAAAGGCATGGACTTCTGGGGGGGGGGGGGAAGGGGACCATAGAAGAAATGCAACGCAGTCGGAATAATGCAAAAAAGTGAGAAACTTTTGCGATAAAATGTAAGTTTATCGTCTTTCATTCGCCACACCCAGAAGAAAAAGGGCCCATTAGAATTCAATATGAATAATTTGCGCTTATTTAATTAAAATATTATATCTATTAACATGACCAAAAAGTAATGGCATTAATGTTGAAACTCCAAACACTTTATAATTAGGAAAGTTATAGGCATACCAGCGAACAGTCCAGTCACCATTGACTCGAATAGCATGCTAATAGTGTGATTTAAACTTATTACTGTTTTTTCTATCACAAACTGTATTCTAGGGATAGATAGAATGGCTCGTCGGCAGGCCTCCTTGACTTCCGCCACATTTTCTTACGTGAACTTTTTAATATCTTTCTTGACCTTAAAAAACCACCTGTCGCATTGATTGAGATCAGGTGAGTACGGGGATTGATGAACAATCGAAGAATTGCAAAGAATTGATCATCCGGAACGATCCAATTTCGCAGGTGGTCAAATAAATACTCGCTGAAAAGGTCAATAATTCTCCTGGAACACTGAACACGCTGAGACTTATGTGTCGGACTGAGGGAGTTGGGCACCCAAATGCTGCTAACTTTTGTCATGTCCAAGTCGCCGTGTAGAACTGTGCAGATAGTTTTACGCGAAAAGCCAGTAAAATCACTCATCATTCGCAGGGAGATGCGAGGATCACCATCAATAGCAATTTGATCATTATCTCGATCTGATTGGTGACCAGATCGCGGTTTATCGGAAAAGTTCGTTGGTTTCCCAAACTTCATTTCCTCAATCCACCTAAATATAGTGCGCTTGGTTGGAGCTTGGTCATACCAAACATTCACGAGTTTGTTGTGAATCATTTCAGCAGAGATGTCATTCATAAATTCCGTATATACATTAAAACGTGCAGACTCGGTGTTGTACTCCATATTCCCGAAGGGGTAAAGAGTGAATGCAGATTATGTGTTGCGCTGCATATATAGGGTGGTTAAAAAAAAAACGCTCTACCGTTTTCTATGGGAGAAACATAGTTTCATAGGTGTGGCAAAAAATTGCATTAGATAGGCGATCGATATTTAACTGTTAAAAGCTGTTGAAATGCTTGCCAGCTTTTTTTCAGCACCCCTGACTAAGTCTTTCAATGCCCATTTAGAGGCGAATTAAAGGTGCCTAGGGGTGGATCATTCCACCTCAGGTGAGGTGATTACCTGTGTCGACCGTCTCAGAATTCAATGAATTTTTCAACTTAAACTTTTTAAGGGACAGTTGGATCCAGCTAATACATGACAGAGAGGTTCATGAGTCTATAAGGTTTTTTTCACTTCCGCAAGATGGCACTGTATCCCGATAGAGGGCGCTGCTATCGACCGGGTGACAGAGGGTGATTTAAAAAAAGATTTAATGCTTCACCTGTAAACTGTGTAACAGGACGATACATGACTCAGAGAACTGTTCCGAAAAAAATACTATATTTTCAAACCTATATGTCAAATATCAAGAGTTTATGAATCTCTATTACTTGAATACACGAATCGTACTTTTTCCCTTTGAAAACGGTGGAGCTTTTTTTTAATCATCCTCAGTCACCCGGTCAACAACAGCGCCCTCTATCGGGATACAGCGCCATCTTGCGGAAGGGAAAAAACCCTTAGACTCATGAACCTCTCTGTCAAGTATCAGCTGGATCCAACTATCCATTGAAAAGTTCAAGTTCATTGAAAAGTTCATTGAATTTTGAGACGGTCGAGCACAGGTAATCACCTCACTTGAGGTGGAACGATCCACCTCTAAGCACCTTTAATTCACCTCTAAATGGGCATTGCATGACTTAGTCAGGGGTGCTAAAAAAAAAGCTGGCAAGCATTTCAACAGCTTGCAACAGTTAAATATCGATCGCGTATCCAATGTAATTTTTTTTGCTACATTTATGAAACTATGTTTCTCCCATAGACAACAGAGCGTTTTTTTTTTAACCACCATATATACGCATGTACCTTTCACTGCATTTCTTAAAGCTGCGTGCTGATTGGTTAGTGATCTCTCCAATTGTGACAGGTTAATGGAGTCATCGTCTAGTGACGTGTGCTTATTCAGTGTCAAGACTTTCTGGTCATGTTAACCTTTATCGTAAGTAAATTTTTAAATACTTCGGTTCCCTCCCGCCCGGAAATTAATTGCGCCCTTTTAAACCCCAAGGGTTTGACAGTTATATCATTTGTTTGGGTTAGAAGCCTACCCAAGGACCAGAAGAGCTTGTTGATGTGACTCGTGCATAGCGTTAGATATATCTGGCATCCGTCCAATGGAGGCTAATTGTAGCGTCAGATATATCTGACATTCGTACGATAAAGGTTAATATAAACCCCAAAAAAGACAAAGAATCGTCCATTTCAAACTTGCACTGTGGATTGACAGGTCACAAATTTTATTCCTCATGGGACATCTTCAAGAGGACATTGGCACCAAAAAGAGCTAAAATTCATGGCTTGTGATAAATTATGTTCCTGAATATTAAAAGTAATTTGGGAAACACAAATTCTAAGTCACTGAAAATTGACAGACATTGCTGTGGGACGCATATGGCCAAATGCACCATTCCGAGAAAAAAACAGCGCTCTCGCCGTGCTTGAGTGGATATTGTCCTTTCTTTCCTTGGTCATTGCTCAAAATTCCGCACACCGATCACGACGATTTCTTTATGGTTGAAGGTCTCTTAATTCCCCTTTATTTAGGATATATTACATGACGACTCGTGTAGAAGTTTCGATAGGGCAATCGAGGAAAAATGGAAGGGATCGTCCTGTCCGCTACCTCTCCACCGCTCTTTTTTTTTTTTAGAATGGGATAATTTTTGCGTTTGAAACTAGGTCTACTCAATCGTAAAAAGACAGGAATGTCGAATTGGAAATGAAATGCGGAGGCCGTGGTGGCCGGTGGCTTGCCTCGTCTGCCAATCTCTCGACTTTTGTGGGAGATAATCCTTTCCCTTTCCCCTTCCCTTCTGTGTCCCAAGAACAATGGACACGGGAAGATCTCGTCTCACCATATGGCTTTTTTTAATGCATTTTAGTTTAATAATACGAAAGGATGCAGGAAAAAAGGAAAGTGGACAATATTGCGCACACCTGCTTGCACCACCTTGTATGAAACATGGGAGGGAGAGAAAGAAGATACCAACCTCAGCCTTCTTTCCACGTTGAGCAGCCAGATTCTTCTGGTACTTCGCCACGATCTTCTTCCATTTGGCAGGTTCAAGGTGTGTGAGCTGGAAGACTAGTTGCATGAATGTCTCCCGGTTTGCAAAGTTGAGACCTGCCTCATAACGCAGGATCTTTATCCCCTCCTCCTCCTTTGCCTGACAACCAACACGTCGATCTCAGTCGAGTATGTGGGCAAAACAAGAGCTAGAGTTCTTGAAATGCTATTTAGTTATGGGATGGGAGGAAGAAAACGACGTGATAATTCGAGCGTCACAAAATTTTCACACGCTTCACCCCTCAAAATATGCTCAAATACGCTCTCCAAATATTTATATTTCTTAAATCTAAAAATTAACTTTTATGAAAATACCACGCACCTTACCGAACCTCCCTCAATCATATGACATAGGTAGCACATGTCAAATCGTCGTAACCTCAACTTCAACAATCTTAGCTCAATAGTTTAGGTTGTGTTGTGTTTTAATATTGACTCAACATTGCCTAGGAAAATATTTCAGGCAGATACAGCAAGTTTTCCATTTATAAAAGTGAGCCACTTCCAGCAGGAACTGCAGCATTTCCAACTAGACTATATGAAAATTGGTATACTGTTTCCAGCTGGAATGAACCAACAGGATCCAGCTGGAATTTCATGTTGTATTCTGCCGAATTTCAGCTTTTCTAGTCGGAAAATGCCTACTCTCTAATTCCTAAATGGAACCAGTGACGTCTCTTTGCACGACGATCCAGCTGCCGGAAAAGTCCGTAAAAAAAACGAATAAAACGAATACAAAACTTATAAACTGAGTATATTTCTGGCTGTAACTTTTTTCGGGTGTGCTTTTGATGGCTTCCGGAAGAGGCAGTTTTTTTGTTCTGCAAGTTATTCTGAGGTTCCGTTTGTTCCACCCAGTAGTTATCCCATGTCATGCATAGGCTAATTTCACAAATGGGTCACCATGTACAGTTTATCATTCTTTGCTACCTGCTGCACAAGCATTTATTTTCAGGAGTCAGGAGTCAGTCAGGAGAGTTAGTGATATCAAGAGGCGATTTCGCCCATTTCGATATCACGTGTCGAGGTCGAGCGTTCCTTAATTTAGGGTAGGCCTAACCCTCTTAAGGCTATATATTTTTGTATTTTTTTTTTTTTTTTTTTTTTTTTT